TCTTTTTATAAAGATTGATTACATTTTGTCTGAAATAATTTTATAATAAAACACTTTTTGTATAGTTTTATATAAAAAAGAAATATTTTATCCTGTTATGTATTTTTTTCTTAAATGTTATAAATCTGTACTTTAGCTTCATCAGTAAATAACTAATATATTTGAATTATTTGTGGTTAAATCCTATCGAAATAAATTGGAGCTGAATATAATAATGATATGATGCAAAAATACTCTTTTTGATAAAAGAAATTGCAATTTGGAGGGTTTATCAGTCCAATCAAATATAAATCTTTGTTCTTATCGACGGTTTATTTATTTATAGTTACATATTGTCCTTGCATTTTACAAGACAAAAAGGCTTTATTTTTTACAATTTTTTGTTATTTGATTATTTGTTATGTCAAATTAAAGTGAAAGGTCTGTGTTTAGGAAAATTGTATGAATAGTTGTGTTTATTGCTGTGTTTGCTTTTATAAGTTTTTTTCTTGTTTCGGGTCTGTTTTGTTTTGTGTTGTTCATCAATAATTTAATTTGAACAATTTTTTCTCTAATCGCAAATGGGACGAAGCAAATAGTGTTTCGATAAAAAATTAATCATCACTCTAAAAATATCTTGAGTGGTATGTCATAAATGACAGACTTCTCGATCTTCAGTATCAGACATGTTACGACCTAACCAATTATCTAAGCCATCCTGAATCTATGCCAAATGCACAAATGGCATCATTAGTTAAATATTATTTTCCACTGTTGCAACGAATAAATAGACCAATAGTAGATGTTTTGAGAAAAAAAAAATAGCTAAAATTTTAATTTTTTAAAGTGAAAGTTGTATATTTCAGGTTAAATGACATTGTTTCAGGCATTACCCAATAGGAGTCCTTTTTGACATTTTTGAGAGCGACATACAGCTCCCTTGGGTGATAAATGTGAGATTTGACAACTTCCCAGAGCAAAAGCTCTTGCACTGTCCTTCCAAGTAGTCAATTTCATATGGAAATCAAATCGAAACAAGTTTCGATCAAAAATAATTACGTTTCAGGGAGTACGTCGAATCTCATTTCCTGTCTTCATTGAAAAAGGCAGATGTAATGAAGCACAAGACACAGATTGTCACTAACATGCAGAAGAAAGATCACCGTCAGTTATGTCTTGGGCTTCAGAACGGTATAAAATGTTTTGTCTTTTTAATTAAACTCTTTTTTAAGTCAGGGATTTGTTTTTGTTTTTTAGACAAGTTTGACCAATTTTGGGCCGTGAATAGAAAACTTATGGAATCAGGGCCTGACGAGTGTTTTAAAAATATTCCGTTTAAGTTGTATTTCAGGGAAGAACATTATGTTCAGAAGCTAGTTAAACCGTGTTCACCAGGAGGTGAAAAGAAAAACCTTCGGAGATTTTATTAATGAAGTCGTCCCCGCCTCTGTCGACATGAGTTCATGTGAGTTATTCAAAAAGAATCAACACAGCAAAAACTTGACGGTTTGACATTTCCAGTTAAAATTTTAATCCACGGCATTGAAGTGCCACACGAGACTCCTCTCCAGTGGATGAGCGAGCACCTGAGTTACCCAGACAATTTCCTTCACTTCGTCATCTCCAGCAAGTGTAAATAGTGGATGTGGATTTCTACCAACAATTTTACATTAAATTTTCCTATTCGTGTTCATTTTATTTTTATTGTTAGATAATTTATATACAGTATAGAACTGATTTGTCTTTTGTTTTAATATTGAGAGGAATTTTTTTTAAAAATTAATTTAATTAATTTTTACATCATTTTAACTAAATGTATATATAAAAATAAACAAAACAATTTTGTTGCTAATATTAAGTTTTATAATCTTACATAATCATGTTTGAGTTTCTTTCTACTCTTGTAGTCATGTGAAATATATTTTGTATCGGAACTTAGTGACAAATTAAAACATTCACATTAAATGTTTTCTTGTTATTTTAAATACTGATTCCAAATAACCAGAAATAATTATAATGTTTTGCCCAGTTGTTATTGCAAGGCGGTATTTATGTGTGGAAATGTGGCAAAAAAAAATAGTATGTTGTAAGATTTTTTTATCCTTAGTGGTAAGTCTTTCTAGGTCATTTTTATGGCTATCATCATAAAGATAAATAAAGCACTATGAGCTTATCATGTGTTGTTTGGGAAAACTGTACTGTTCTTTATTATAACTTTGTCAAAATTAAATAAGTTTTGGCTTTGTTTGTAACCAAATTTTGTAATCTAATTAAGCTAAATTAATTACGAGGACTTGCTTTTTAGTGACATAGATTTTTCTTTGGGTATTTCATGTATTCCAGGAAAAAAAAATTGGTAATTAGTGCAATGTTTATTTACTTGTAATTTATCCAATTACACTAATTTTTTTGCCTTATCTTGAATTATCTGTAGTAATTAATAATTGTTCGTTTTTCTCTAATTGTGAGCTTAATCATTTGAGGGGCAGATAATGGTTGTTTTCCTTTTGGGAGCAGATTTTCTTTCCCTGGTTACATACAAATTTTCAGTATTTTTCTTTACTCTGACAAATTAAGCCAAGTCAAGCTTGTTAAATTCTCTTAGTGATATATATTTTTTTAAATTTATCCAATCATGCAGAGATAATTTAAAAAATTTCCTAAAATGATTAAACTCACAATTAGAGGAAAATAAAGGAATTGACAACAGATAATTCCCGATTATCAAAATTTCTTTAATTGAACAAATTACCGGTAAATAATAGTTCATGGGTGTCAAAACAAAAGAAATAATTCTAAAAACGTCTTTCCACTTAGGTAAAAATCCACTGCAAAAGGAAGAAATCAACTTCCGGATTCCACTTCTTAAAATCAAGTCCACACCTAGATAAATTTGAGTTGCGTCCTTACAATTTGTTTAATTTCCTCAAATGCATTATCAACTACCTTGTTTAGCTTGAGTTTGATCGAGATATAATTAAAACGAACAAAAATGACCTGCAGTTTGCCACAAGGATTAAAGATTATACCACAAAAAGATAAAACAGCGAACACTATTCTGCTGCCATTCTCTAAAATGATTAAGCTCACAGAAATTAGGGAAAAATAAAAGATATGGCAACTGATAATTTGAGAAAGGGCAAAAAAAAAAGTTTACGAAATTGGAGAAAGTACAAGTAATAAATGCATTTCAATTATAGGTTTATGCGTTTTAGCGTTTTATTACAACACGTACTTCAAAATTTACACATTTTTTGATTTTATAATCTACCAAAACTGCTAGTTTTGTCTATTTTTATTAAGTTTTGTCCTACGAAGAGTTACACTAAGGATAAGAATATCCTCCCCCAGAAGGATAAAAGCCATACCAAAAAGAAATTAAGTATGACAATTAGAGAAAAATAAAAGATACGAAAATAGATAATTTGAGAAATTATTTTTTATTATTAATAAATTATTCTTCAGATTATTTTTAGAAATTTAATCAAATGAATTATAAGTAAATAAACAATTTAATAATCAGTTTATGCCGGATCGATCGGCCTATTTTGGGAATGTATCCTGTCTGGACTTTGTACAAATAAATTTCGTTTTAGGGTTTTAGTACACCTAGTTCTTCAAATTCACGTACTTGTTACTGAACGGAATATTTCTTTGGACAAAAAATTATTAATTCTACTTCTTAATTTGAGTAAAAGTAAAATTGTTCTGTAGTCGATTCCTCCTGAGAAAAATAAAATCCGTTCAAAATTATTTTAATTTCTTAAACCAACATTAATGAGTTTTAACTACCTTAATATTAAACTTTACAGTCCGAAAAGTAAATGACAAAAGCGAGGATAAAAATTTGTCTTCTGACTTTGCATGTTTTCTCTTTTATTCCTCTAATGCATTATTATTGCTCAACGAACTTAAATTATCCTCAGGAGTGAGGAAATGCACATAGAAAAAAATCTATTACCAAGAAAACTTATCTTCTTAATTGAGCTAAGAGTGGAAGAGGGGTCAAACCTCTTTATAATACTTTTAGGGATGGTTAATCGTCATTTGTTTTGTAATTCACCCTGGCCCTGAAGACCCAAATTGACAAAAAAAAAATGAAAAAGGAGTTTTTCTAAAATACTTTATTCCTGACCTCTCCTCACTACTTCAACAAATTGTTGAACAACTGGTCACTAAATAACACATTTTTTACACTTTATTTGTTTCACATTTTCATTACATGTATATACAAATATTTAACAAATTAGCTTATATTAAACTATTACATCAAATCGACTCATGCTCGTCGTGATATTGGCTAACAATAAATTAGTTTTAAATAAATTAATAAGCCTCATACAAAAATCATGATTTATGTTTGAGCATTTCAATTAGAATTTAATTGATAAAAAATTATGTAAAATTAATTTGTGTATGTTTACTTCAACATCTTGTCAATTATACATCTACACTTTTTTTTATTGCACTATCCTAACAATATTGTCATTAAAACATCACCTCGCTAACATAAATGAGTATTCTTTATAGAAATTTACCCAGTTTTGTTTCAATTTATAGAAGTAAAAACAACTGGGAAAAGGTAACAAAATCACCAACTTTGATATTTCATGTACTAATTATGTTTTCATAATTAAAAGCTTCTTGAAAGCTAAACTTTCACCATTCTAAAGGCACTGGATATTCACCAGTAAGGCAAGCTGTGCAGTGGCCTATTTTATCGGGGTCTTTTTCTTTAATTTGACATCTGACAGCCCTCCTTAATCCATCGACTGAAAGATACATTAAACTGTCAGCACCTGAAAAAAAAAGTTGAATATTAAAATTTTATTAATTATAATAGGAGGTGAATTACTCACCGACATGCTCTGCAAGTTTTGTACTGTTCAATTTGTTTGCGATTAACTCCTCGATTGTCGGTATATTGATACCCATGAAGCAAGGGTAGCGTAGCGGAGGAGAAGCTATTCTGATATGAACCTATAAAAAATAATAATATAATAAAATTAATATATAATATTTTAATTAAACACGATTAAAATACCTCTTTNAAAAGCGAAATTACTCTGAAATGGTTGAGAATCGGACCATGGTCAATATGAACTTTTTTGTTCATTTTAGGGTCAAGAATCTACTGGTGAAGTTTGTAGCACGAGTAGCAATTCACCCTGTATGTATAAGCCACAATTAATTAAGGTTTTCAGTTGAGGTAAAAAAGTCAATGGCACGAGCGGGATTCGAACCCACTATCTTCGGCTAGATATGCCGCTGTTCTACCACTTGAGCTATCGTGACCAATTTGACAATTTGATTCTCGGCGACAAATGAAATAGCCACGGAGAGCTTTAGTGAAGTATACTTCATTTTAAACTTATTAAATTCACTAGTTTCGTGGCCCGCTTGACCAATTAAGATCTTACAATTAATTAAGGTTTTCAGTTGTTTTCAACTGTTTCAAAAGAAGCGAAAATTCAGAAGGTACGGTTGAGATGGGAAGTTAATGTCCGAGCGGGTCGAGGTCACGATAGCTCAAGTGGTAGAGCAGCGGCGTATCTAGCCGAAGATCGTGGGTTCAAATCCCGCTCGTGCCATTGACTTTTTTATCTCAACTGAAAACCTTAATTAATTGTAAGATATTAATTGGTCAAGCGGGCCACGAAACTAGTGAATTTATATGTATAAGGTTATAAAAGATATAAAGAATAGTTAACGATTAGCTGATTTTAATCACAAGTGTATTATCATATCATACTCAAATTAAATCTCTTTTGCTTCTGCAAACTAAAATTATTCGCAAAGCGTAGTTAAATTGTTTTATTTTATTTCATAGTATTTTTTTAAAGCATTATTACAAAATGAGACTTAAGAAAGATAAATACACTGAGTTTCGATTTTAAAATGATTAACCATTATTAGTTTATGAACCACAATTCCTTGGGATCACATTTCAATCTATACCTTTAGAGATTTTGACTTGCTATAAAGACAAATATTATGAATTATGGATCATAAGTGATCAAATAATGGTTAATCTTTTGAAAGAAGAACTCCAGGTGAAAACAATTTATTATTTTTATTGAGATGAGTATTTAAAGAAAAAAGAAGGCAACAGTAAATGAAAGCCATAAAAAATATAAGTAAACAAATAAATAAAATAAAATAAATGAAATTTCCAAATAATTTCAACATATAGTAAACTAAAGGTATTAATAAATTTAATCCTTCTTAAATTATAATTTGCAATCAATTCATTTTGTTAACTCTTGGTGATAATAATTCACAAACTTATCACATTGATAAACGCAGGATCTTTTTTAAAAGATTTTTTTTATTGCCCCTTACAGTACCTGCGGTACTCATTCTGATTGAACCTTTGGATTATTTGTAACATACTACTGGATATGTGCAAAGCAGCATTATTGTTAACAAAAGAGAATAATTAGTAAAAATTCAAAAGGAAAAAGTCAAAAAACATGTCAAAAAGATATATATATAAAATGATAGTCTGTCCAACTGAAGGCTGTACAAAAATAAATTAATTTCATTAAGTACAAGTAAGTTTATGTAGACTGCGACCACTGAGTGGTCGTATTTGCCCCACTAGAGGTTCTGGGTTTGAATCCCAGTTCAGCCCATGGAAATTTAATTGGATGCAAAAGTTATTGTAGTCGTTTGACCCTTTGTCTGCAATAACCAGCATATAGCTGGACATTAAGCTCTCTTGAATCACAGGAATTGCTTTTGCTACTACTACAAGTAGTTGTATAATAAAAAATTAATAGTTAAATATTTTGCTGAAAACTTCAAAATTATGAATACATTGTTTGGCGATTTCTGGTGACTGCCTAACCAACCCAGTGAGAATTGGCATATCAGGAAGATTACATAAAACTAAATTGTGTGATGTTTAGTGACTGTTAATTAATGATGAATTGGAGATCATAAGATGCGGTCTGGTGTTAATCAATGTTTTGATCTTTATTGAGCCCTGAACATGATCTAAATGAAGTTTGAAACATTGGCACAATAAATAAAATGTTTTTCTAAACCTATGTCACACCAGACCACATCTCACGATCTCTAATTCATCATAAAATTAAAGATTAAAACATCAAAGATGATAATATATTTCTTAAAACAATGTGTTCTGTCAGGCAAAAAAGTATAATTACATAAACTTTAGTTATCAATCAAATTTTAACATATAAATTAAACATGTACACAGCATAGTTTTAAATAAAGACTTCAAATAACATAGCAGTTTAATAAATAAACAAAATGAAATATATTACAAAGCTAAAGTTTGAAAATGCAATAAATTACTATTGATGTGAAAAATGCTGAACTTTTGCTTTGTTGCTGTTTTAATTAATAATTGCTTTTTATGTTGGATTAATTAGATTAGATTAGATCTATGAGACAGTAAAAGAAGTCATCTTGCCAGAATTCCTTACAAATTTCATATAAACTAAATCAAAATGCACAGAAAGTCATTTATTGACTGAAATTATACGGTTATTAAAAATGTGTACATTGAAAATGGGAAAATAACAATTGGAAATAACAAAAGCCAAAAAGGAAAGGAGTTATTTTATGGAAGAAATGTACAAAAAATTTCATGGTCGACTTATTTTAAGGCTCAAAAAGGAGCTTTTTCCCCAAAAATCGTTTCAAAGAAAAAAAAAAGTTTTTATTAATTAGAAGTGTCAATATATAAATATTTATATTGAAAATAAGGCAATTATTTTATGGAAGAAATGTACAAAAAAGTTTTCAAGAAGGCTTGACTTAACTTATTTTAAGAGCTAAAAAGGAGCTTTTTTGCCACAAATCTTTTCAAAAATTTACAAATTTTTTATTAGTTAAAAATGTTCATTATGTAACATTTATATCAATTCTATTAATTAAATGTTTGCTTTTTAATATTAAGGTTGAAAATTAAATTAATTGATTTCAAGTTTGAAATTTAAAAATGTTTCTTTCAAGAAGGTAACAAAAAGACACTTTCTGTTACAAATTTGTAAAAAGATTTTATATAAATAGTATAAAAATCTGCAGTTGTTTAAATTAAATTTTTGCATTTTTTCAATATTTGTGTTGAAAATTAAATATTTAATGATTTCAGGCCTGAAATTTAATAATATAATTTAACACTTTTCGCCACAAATCTGCAAAAAAAAAAGAAATTCATGTGAAATGTATGCAAGATCTGCAGTTTCTTTCTATTAACGAAATCTTTACATTTTTGGTTAAATATTTAGGTTGGAAATTTAAGAATTAATTGATTTCAGGTGTTCAATTTAAAATTCGTGTTCATTTCAAGAAGGCAATTAAATGATTTTGCCTCAATTAATTCAAGCAATTTAATGGGTATTGAAGAAAAGTGTGCAGAAAGTATTTATTGCAAAAATTAAACCACTATTCTTGTAAATTCTAATAGAAATGTTTTAATCATTTTATTTGAAGAGTAAAGAGATTTTCGGTGTAAAATTATAAAAAAATTTCAAACAAAATAATACAAATTGACAGAATATTGTTTGTTATTAATGGATTATTTTTTCGTTTTATTTATTGAATTAATAAATGTCCTTTTTTTTGTTATTGTTTTGTGGGACGAATAAAAATTTAACATTGTGGGAAGTGCAGTAAAATTAAAAATGGTCGCCTAGAAGTACACAGAGAGAAAATTTTTGAACATGTCAGTGGTAGATTTCACACAAACGTTTTATTGTTCAAATTTGAAAAATAAATCCTAAATACCTGTAGAAAGCGAGCAAAAATTCCTTTGTCTACCATCGAGATGCAATTGTACATTTTAGAAAGGAAATATTTTCCTTACTTCCTTTAAAGGCGGGTCCAGACGGGTGTAACGTGTAATGCAAGATTACGTGTAATTTAGAGTGAACAGTGTGGACGGCAAACGAACTCCGCGAATCATGTAACGCGAATCTTGAAGAGGGGGCTGTTCCACTCAGTTGCTCCGAACATGGTATAAACCAATAAGTTCAAGCGACTGTTCGTCACTCCACATCATGAACGTCCACACTACACAACTGCCACGAACGCCGTCCAAATAAGAACTGCGAGCGCCTTTGTGTTCGCACAAAAAACCGACACCCCGATGGATCCGGTCGAACGGTTGGGCGTGCGTTACATGTAATGCTCGTAGTAGCGTCCACACAAAGAATTCGCCTTGCATTACGCGTTACGTTACGTGTTACATTACACTCGTCTGGACTTATACCGAGATGTTCTCCCATCTGACATCCGATGACGGATTGGGGGGTCATTCAACCGAGGAGCAGGTAGATGAAGGGTCCCACTAATTTCGGCAAATCTGTTTCAACCCATATCCCCTTTACTGCTAGCTGTAGAACTTTCTAATCTGATAGAGTAAAAACGTTTACGAACGTCTTCAAGCTGAAAGAAAGTAGAGAGAATTAGAACAAAACGGGAATAAGAATTTAAACGAATTCAGACAATTAATGGCAATCCATAAATAATGTTTTACTAGGGGTTTTTCCAAAATAGACCATTGTTTTGTTCAAGTTTTTGCTAATAACCAATAACATACCATTTATTTCTGTCAAAATCTTGCAGAAGATATTACCAACATTTGAATAATTATCTATATTAAATTCATCATGTTTACTGGTCTATTGACCAAATTACTTCTTTCATTCAATTAATTATTCTTTTTATGTAAGATCTATTATTTATATTTTTAAAAGGTTGAAACTTATCAAGCTCATTTGCTTAAGAAAAACTTTTATGTGTATAGAATGATATACATGGTGTTCGCCAGCAGCCAAGTTTTAAATGGCGCCGACGAACACCACCGGGAGAGAGGAATTGAAATTAATAAAAGGATTGTTTCGGCACCAACGGGAATGGAGGATTCCCGATTTTCAGGGGGATGTTAGTTTACGAATGGTTAAATGAAGAATAAATAATGGACGAAAGGATAATTGAAGACTCACTGTTTAATGAAGTTTCTATGGCTTACAAAGTGGCAGATGATCGTATTGGAGATCTGAAGGCGATGAAGACCGGGAAGTGGTGAAGGTCTCCTGAATGCGATATCGTGCGTTGTTTGGCGATTAGGCCGGTATACCGACCTGGCTCCTGCAGCGTCGTTGATGATGGATGATGTAATCCGGTAGCGGTGAGGATGAGACGATGCAATCCAGGTAGTAGCCAGTGAGATGATGGGAGTCTTCGTGGGATAATGAAGGATGTTGCGTTCGCGGGATTATAATGATGGTAGATGGAAGAAGGAGATGATATATTAAGGGAAAATGGCGATGATAGGTTTGCGGACCATGCGGTTGAGAAATGCACGTGGAGGTAAAGATCGTATGGCGATATGCGGGGAATCCGTGAGGATTCGCGTAGCGAAGAGACTTTAAGAAGCGGCGATCTTACACGGAGTCAAATTACTATGGCGCAACACATTAGCGGGATAGGGCAGATAGGACGTGTGATCGCTCCGAGAGCTGGCGGAGAAGAGAGCCCGAGACTCGAGAGGGCTAGAAGGGATGAGTTTTTAAGGAAAAAGGAGGGAAGTGTATTACGATTGGTGGATTTCTAGAAGATAGGGGTTGTAGATAGAGGGGTACAATCTACGTCGCAAATCGGGCGCGTTAACGTCACCGAAGCGTGGATGGATCTGTTAACATCTTATCCGTTAAGCGTGGATGGATCTGTTAACATCTTATCCGTTAACATCAAACAAAATTATTTTTTCAATTTTTGTACTATAAACATTGGTCCTATAAAGAAGAAAGTTATTTTACTACTCTTTCTGTTATTTAAAAAAGTGAACCAAAATTGCTAAATAGTGTTTACTACGTGTGGTTCCTCCAGACACACCGACCACTTACACCCTCAAGTCGAAGCAATTAATTCTTTTCCCTGCAATTTATTATTCAAGGACTTAAAAGAAGAATGAACCCAAACCCTTAAAGGAAGAAAAAAAATCTGGACGAACAGCTTTTTGTATTTTGATGCTTCGAAACATCATACGCGTGTTCATCTATTAACGCACCCCTCTTTTAATATTATATTGGACTGGAATTAAACAGTGTTTTACATAATTAGGCCCACTTTGTAATTTCTTCTATCTGTCCCTAACAATTTCAATACAGTTTTCAATTAAACAAAAGAGAATTGATAAGAATACATTTTATAGTTCAAATCTTGTTTTTCTGTTTTATGAAGTGATGAAGTAAACAAATTTTTTAAATATTGATGTAAATGTGAATGTCAGCTGACTTCGTATCTCATTCTATGTGTATTTTGCATTTTATAGTATAATTTTTATAATCCTTCGACTGAAAGATACATTAAACTGTCAGCACCTGAAAAAAAGTTGAATATTAAAATTTTATTAATTATAATAGGAGGTGAGTTACTCACTGACATGTTCTGCAAGTTTTGTACTTTTCAATTTGTCTGCGATTAACTCCTTGATTGTCGGTATATTGATACCCATGAAGCAAGGGTAGCGTAGCGGAGGAGAAGCTATTCTGATATGAACCTATAAAAAATAATAATATAATAAAATTAATAAATAATATTTTAATTAAACACGATTAAAATACCTCTTTTGCTCCTGCATCTCGCAAAAGTTTGATAATTGGGCCGATTGTGTTTCCTCGTACAATCGAATCATCAATAAGTATAATTCTTTTGTTTTCAACATTTTCTGAAAGCGCGCCAAACTTTTTGGCAACACCCAACTGTCTCAGTCTTGTACTTGGTTGGATAAATGTCCTTCCAACATACCTATTTTTACAAAGAACTTCAGCAAATGGGATGCCAGACTGAAAAGAAACTTATGCAAAATGGTTCATTTAATTAAATAATAATGAAGTAAAAATCTTACTTCTCTAGAAAATCCATGCGCAGCAGCAGTTCCAGATTCAGGTACTGAACTTACAATATCAGCACTGACAAGGGCTTCTTTTGCGAGCATTCTTCCACACTGCATCCGTACCGAATAAACCATTTGTCCTTTGAAAATATCCCTCTGTTAGCTTACATTGGTCAAAATTGCAAAAACTGCAAATTGCAAAAATAGATACCTTCAAAAATACTATCAGAACGGGCAAAATAAACATATTCAAATATGCAGAATGCAAGCGATCTGTTGTCAGGCCTGTCGATAATGTCAATAGTTTTGAGGCCTTTCTCTGACAGCTCAACAATCTCACCCGGAAGGACTTCCCTGACATAGCGTGCCCCGATTGACAAAAAAACCACAAGACTCAGATGAAATCACCCAACCTTCAGCACTCTGGTTCTCTGAAGTTAAAAGAAAAATTATAAATTGGTCAATTATTTTCTATGAGGAAAGAAACAATCAATTACCTGTTTTGTTCTTGACAGGTACAATTTTACCAATACAGAGAGGCCTATTGCCAAAAGGATCCCTCACCCCATAGATTTTGTCTTTTATAAGTATAACAAGTGAATAAGAAAGTGGCGCCAGTTCCATCAAGTGTTTGATTCTGGCAGGCCAGTCTGGGCCGTTGTCTTCTCCCTCTGGTGGGTTAAGGCAAAGTGCCTGGGTTAAAAGTTCACTGTCTGAATGCGTGGATAAACCAACTCCTCTAGACAATACCTAAATATATTTATAAAATCTTTAAATAAGAAATCTTTTTAGAGTCTTGATGTTTTGAAATTGTAGAAAGAAGTTTTCTATAATTTATCCAAGCAGTAAAAGCTAAAAAGCTAATATTAAATTTTATCATAAAGTTTACCATTTTTCTTAAAGCATCACAATTGACAAGTTCACCATTGTGAGCCAAAGCAAGTGTACCATGTGCTGTATGAACAACAAAAGGCTGGCAGTTTACTTCTTCAGATGCTGCCGATGTTGAATATCTGGTATGTCCGATTCCGAGATTTCCTTAAGAAAACCATTCATTTTTGCAATGTTTGATGATTTAATATACTAAATTAATTATACCTTTGAGTTTTTTCATCGATTCATCGTTGAAAATGGTATTGATCATACCCATTCCTTTCTTAACATTGAGGCCGGTGGAGCACTTGCCTTCGCTTGTCACAATGCCTGCACTTTCCTGTCCTCTATCAGGGAAAACAAATAAGATCTGATCTATCCATCAGTTAAAATTAGTCATTAAAATATCCAAGTTATACCTATGCTGGAGTGCGACTAATCCAAGGCAAATGATCTGGCCTATGTCTAACTGTGTAGGCCAAGGACGGCCTGCGAGGCAGCCAAAGACACCGCATTCGTGGTGCATCCCGGTCAAATCTTCCTTTCGGATTTCCTCCATTTCTAATATCTTTTATTATTACAATTAGTCTGAAAAAATAAACATAAAGATAAGAATGTTTACCTTTAAATAAAATTATTATACTGTTAAGGGAATTAGATTCAAAAATTAATTTCATAATATAAGAATTAATATAAAAAATTCATAATAAATTTTCTTCCGAGCCAATATACAATTTATTTGTGCCTCCATTAATAGATAAATAAAGTTAATCGTTAAGAATACTGATACCTATATCAACACTTATCACAATAAAGACAAAAATAAAAGATAACAACAATAACAAAACAACAACAAATAGTAAAAAACAAATGTTAGCCTTGAGATATTTAAGAAATATACCATTAATAAATAAAAAAGATTATATGTATAAGATTATAAAAGATATAAAGAATAGTTAACAATTAGCTGATTTTAATCACAAATGTATTATCATATCATACCTCAAATTAAATCTCTTCTGCTTCTGCAAACTAAAATTATTTGCGTAGTTAAACTGTTTTCTTTTATTTCATAGTATTTTTTTAAAGCATTATTACAAAATGAGACTTAAGAAAGATAAATACACTGAGTTTCGATTTTAAAATGATTAACCATTATTNAATTTAAAATAAAGCAATTATTTTATGGAAGAAATGTACAAAAGTTTTCAAGAAGGCTTGACTTAACTTATTTTAAGAGCTAAAAAGGAGCTTTTTTGCCACAAATCTTTTCAAAAATTTACAAATTTTTTATTAGTTAAAAATGTTCATTATGTAACATTTATATCAATTCTATTAATTAAATGTTTGCTTTTTAATATTAAGGTTGAAAATTAAATTAATTGATTTCAAGTTTGAAATTTAAAAATGTTTCTTTCAAGAAGGTAACAAAAAGACACTTTCTGTTACAAATTTGTAAAAAGATTTTATATAAATAGTATAAAAATCTGCAGTTTTTTAAATTAAAGTTTTGCATTTTTTCAATATTTGTGTTGAAAATTAAATATTTAATGATTTCAGGCCTGAAATTTAATAATATAATTTAACACTTTTCGCCACAAATCTGCAAAAAAAATAATTTCCTGTGAAATGTATGCAAAATCAGTAGTTTCTTTCTATTAACTAAATCTTTGCATTTTTGGTTAAATATTTAGGTTGAAAATTTAAGAATTAATTGATTTCAGGTATTCAATTTAAAATTTATGTTCATTTCAAGAAGGCAACAAAATGATTTTGCCTCAATTAATTCAAGCAATTTAATGAGTATTGAAGAAAAGTGTGCAGAAAGTATTTATTGCTAAAATTAAACCACTGTTCTTGTAATTTCTTATAGAAATGTTTTAATCGTTTTATTTGAACAAAAAGAGTTTTTTGGTGTAAAATTTAAAAAAATTTAAAAGAAAATAATACAAATTGACAGAATACTGTTATTATTTTTTCGTTTAATTTATTGAATTAATAAATGTCTTTTTTTTCGTGGAACGTCTAAAAATTTAACATTGTGGCAAGTGCAGTAAAATTAAAAATGGTCGCCTAGGAGTACACAGAGAGAAAATTTTTGAACATGTCAGGGGTAGATTTCGCACAAACATATTATTGTTCAAATTTGAAAAAAAATCCTAAATACCTGAAGAAAGCGAGCAAAAGTCGAAATTGACTGAAAAAAAAATATTTCTCAGAAAAAGGAGGCAAAAACCCTGGTCCTGTTGAACCTCAGTGGTACGTACACGTGAGTGAATCAAGAGGCGGGCCTTTAATTTGTATAGGTAGTTTTAAACCAGTTTTCCACCGCTGGAGGGGATGTGACTAGACGCCGGTCAACAGGCATCAACAAGAGGGGGGCACCACGGCAAGGGGAGCCGATACGAATAAAAAAAACTGAGATTAACTCATTTGAAGAAAAAAGATCGAAACTTATATCTTAAAAGGAACCCGTCCGAGCCACGATTCTATAAACTCTTTGAGCTCACGCCTTTGTCACCATGACTGGAGGTAATTTTCAATATAATTTATTTTATTTTTTTCAAATGAAACATCTTCATTGTTGCTTGCTGTTTGAATAAAGCTTTGCAGCTTCTTTTTAGTATTTGCGTGTAACCAGGTAAAAAGGTTACGCTCGCCCTCGCTTTTTTCAAATGTGCAAAGCCTGTCTAACAAAATTATCCAAATTTTTTTTCAAACTTTTGAGTAATAAATATTAGCAAACCGTGATCCAAATTATCATGCACATTTGTCTAAAAACAATTATGTAATTAAAATACATTTAAGATTAATATATTTTGTGCAATAACGTGTATAAATTTTTCTGAACACATCTAATATACTTACTATGCATTTTTTTTCAACCACACCTATCAGTTTAAATCGACATTTTTTCAAATTTTGAGTGATATCCAAAACCAGTAAAATTTATTTGACAAAACTATTAATAATCAATTTTAATAAATCATTAGTTATAATATTTATTTTTTACATTCTAACAGGTTGCTGACACGCATCAATTATTCCTCTGCATAAACAAATATATATTTAACTAAGTCTATATAAACAAATAATGGTTTACAATAAAAAAAATAACGTTGATTTTTTTTACAGGATTATCAACAAATCTAGTAGATCCAATTATAGTTTTTACTAATTTTCAATATTTTCAGATAAAAATTGTTAAAAAAAAAAGTATTGGAACTTTGAGTAGTATACAATAACGTTAAAGTTTAAATTTATTCGTATTTTTCTTTCATAAATTAACAGATTTTGTCTATTTATAGACTTTTTTCAATGACCTATGTATTTTTGTTTATGTGTTCTGTAAAAATTGTCCCAATTTTTTTTTTTTCAACTTTTGAGTAACAACCCCATTTGAATAATTTAAACAATTGTATGTTTACACCTCAATTTGGTTTCAACTTTTGATTAATAATTATTGGCGAAGACAGGTTCAAAATTATCATGCACATTGTTTCAAAAAAGCTCTTTTAATTAGAACTTATAAGTAAACCTATTTTATGTGATAATGTGTATACATGTTTCTGACACATCTAATATCTAATCGTCATTTTTTTAGTAAAATCCAAAACCATTAAAATTTATTTGAAATAATTAATTATTTATTAATAATAAACATATGATAAATTATCATTGGCTATCATATTTTTTTACAATTAAAACAATTACAACATACACAACTATTTTTATATGCAAATAAATCTATTATAATAAATAATTAATAATAATTTTTATTTGTATATAGGATGCTCAACACACCTATCTATCAGATTGATTTGCTTTGATTAATTTTCAATAATAAAATCGTCCAGAAAAAATTGTCGAATTTTTGATTAATAAACAACAAGATTAATGTTTGAAAGTTCTTTATCTTTCAGAAAATATGAAATTTCGTATATTTATTGATAATGTAAAGGTTTAGTAATAACAGTAAATTATACAGGGGAAGGTCGCGCATTATTCCTTCTATGTTGAATGGTGTAAATCTTCCATAAAATTGTTCAACTTTTGATTTTTTTTTTTTAGTTAAAAGTTAAAAATTATCATGCGCGTTTTGTTTAAAAAACTATTAGTTTTTTAAATGATCAAATAATTAATATTGTGTATAATAGATTTGATGATAAATGTACAGATATTCAATATACAGGGCCTTTTTTCGTTTTTCAATCAATAACATATTTTTGAAAAAATTGTCGATTTGTTCAATATTTGAATAATAACCGCATTTAAATAATAGATAATTTGTTTTTGTGCCTTAACGCATCTACCTATAAAACAGATTATACCAATTTATTTTGGTCAACTCCCAAATTTCACCATCCCAAAACAAACATGATTAAAGAAAATTGTAGTTAGAACAATCTTCTGACAAAAATACCCATGTTGAGTATGATTTTTGCATTTGATTTTTCTGTTTTTAGCTACTGTTTCTATAAGAATTATAGACAGTGGTTGAGGGGTCAAACTTTATCTTGAGGTCCAGAAGATAATAGGATCAAATTGTCTCCATAGCTACAAATCCTATTTTGTAAAGTGTACACACGGTAATCCTTATAAATAAAGACCTATTTTAAATTTAAAATAATAATGATATAGTTTTATATGAAGTTTTTTTTAAAGATAACTTCTAAAACAAAAATAGAAAGATTTAAATTTTACAAGATGGCTGGGGATTCGTTTTAGGTTGAAAAATGCCTTTGTCTACCATCGAGCTGCAATTGTACATTTTAGAAAGGAAATATTTTCCTTACTTCCTTTGTAAAATTTTACCGCCCGGTTCCAAGCAAATGGAACTAGGCATATCTAAGGCACCAACCTTTATACCTGGGATGTACTCCCATCTGACATCAGATGACGGATTGGGGGGTCATTCAGCCGAGGAGCAGGTAGATGAAGGGTCCCACTAATTGCGGCAAATCTGTTTTAACCCATATCCCCTTTATTGCTAGCTGTAGGACTTTCTAATCTGATAGAGTAAAAACGTTTACGAAGGTCTTTAAGCTGAAAGAAAGTAGAGATAATTAGAACAAAAGGGGAATAAGAATTTAAACGAATTCAGACAATCAATGGCACTCCAATTTACAAGTGGTTTTTCTAAAATAGACCTTTGTTTTGTTCAAGTTTTTGGTAATAACCAATAACATACCATTTATTTCTGTACAAATCTTGCTGAAGATATTACCAACATTTGAATAATTATCTATATTAAATTCATCATGTTTACTGGTCTATTGACCAAATTACTTCTTTCAATTAATTTTTCTTTAATTATTAAAGATTAATTTTCTTTAATTTCTTCAGTTAATAATTCTTTTTATACCAGGTCTATTATCTATATTTTTAAAAGGTTAAAACTTATCAAGCTCATTTGTTTAAGAAATTTATTTGTGTATAGAATGATATATATGGATCTGTTAACATAAAACAAAATTATTTTTTCAATTTTTGTCCTATAAACATTGAAAGTTATTTTACTAGGATCTTTCTGGTATTTGTGATTTTAAAATACTAAATACCTATTTCATCTTCTATTTTCTATTTTCAAATCATAATAGGCTAATATTTTTATCTGGTAAAAGTAAACAAAATTTGTTGATAATATCCAAAAAATACTTTAGGACATGGAAGGGAAGAGATTATTTTCTTCCAGGGATATTTTCAGATGGTAAAAGCATATTCCAACAGAATGTTGTAAATACAGTCTCGTCTTGCTTTCCTTGATAATAATATATGCAAAAAAATGAACAAAAATTGCTAAATAGTGTTTACTACCTGTGGTTCCTCCAGACACACCGACCACTTACACCCTCAGGTCGAAGCAATTAATTCTTTTCCCTACAATTTATTATTCAAGGACTAAAAAGAAGAAACAAAATCTGGACGAACAACTCTTTTGGACTGGAATTAAACAGAGTTCGTAATTTCTTCTTTCTAGACCTAAAAAATTTAATACAGTTTTTAATTAATCAAAGGAGAATTGATAAGAATACATTTTTAGTTCAAATCTTGTTTTTCTGTTTTATGAAGTGATGAAGCAAACAAATTTTCTAAATATTGATGTAAAAAATATGTGCTGACTTCGTATCTCATTCTATGTGTATTTTGCATTTTATAGTATAATTTTTATACCATATATAATATATACTTTAATTTGTGATTTATTATTATTTCTCTTGCATAATTTAGTTGGAGGATACAAACTTGGATCACTAGTGATCGAGGGAAAGACAAAACAGGTCTACAATGTTGTAGGCCAGCCAAATGAAGTTCTTTTGGTGAGCAAAGATCGCATCACCGCTGGGGACGGTGTCAAGTCACACGAACTCAAGGGGAAAGCCGCAATCTCGACAAAAACCAATGCAAAGGTTTTTGAACTTCTCAATTCTGCTGGTGAGAAAAAAAACCCTTTCATAGATTTTTATTTATATTTTAATTTGATTATTTATCCAATTGGGTTTTCAGGTATAAAAACTTCATATATTAAAAATGTCAGCGACAATGCATTCCTGGCGAAAAAGTGTGAAATGGTTCCAATTGAATGGGTTACCAGGAGACTGGCGACTGGTTCCTTCCTTAAGAGGAATGAGGGAGTTCCAGAAGGGTACAGATTTTGTCCGCCCTTAAGTGAAACATTTTTCAAAGTAAGTTTTTTTTTACATTTACTTATTGAATTTTTTTTAGAATATTCTATTACAATAACTGTTTTATATCATTTAAAAACTAGAATTATGCAATTAGAGGATTATTTCTTAATGAATATTAAGGGGTGCTTATCATATTTACGTCATTGATAGTGTGACTTGTGTGATAAATAAATTTTTATTTTTTATATATTATTTTTTAAACCATCCTCTGATAACCTTTGATAAAGCTTAATACATATTTGGCCTTGGGCAAGATGGAATTTTTTTTCGATCATTAAAGAACTCTGTTTTTCTAGGACGACGCGAATCACGACCCTCAATGGTCAGACCAGCAAATCGTCTCGGCTAAATTCAAACTCAATGGCGTAACAGTCACTCGCCATGAAGTCGATGTGATGAAACGTACGTCAGTCGCTGTTTTTGAAATATTGGAAAAAGCCTGGGCGAGTAGGAACTGCGCGCTGATTGACATGAAAATTGAGTTTGGTGTCGACTGTGAAGGTAATAAGGAAAACAATGAAATACACATACAAACGAAGAAGAACAAGGCAAAACTAAACAAGAAGAAAATATAAGTTACTAAACCTCACACCTTAATCATAAAAACCCCAATGCAATATATAAAAGGATAATCAAAGACCACAATCTTTGAGACAAATCCTGGCCAGTCATCCAAAGTCGAGGGTTGTGAAATAGCATTTTAATAAATTAATGGTATTTATCTGTCTATGCTAGCATAATCCCTCTGTTTTTTACCATGTTAGTTCTGTTTAGTTTTGATGGTTTCTCCCATCCTTTCAGCTGATTCGTATAATTTCGTTCGTTATTTCATTATTTTTTAAACGTAATAAGGCTTTATATTTATTTGGGAAAAAACATGTATAAAAACTAAAGTGGCAAACTGTATAAAATTGACAGCATAATCAACAAGCATTAGACTAGATTCAAATCATTCTGATGTCTCTAGGAGTTATAAACCGAGACAGCAATAAACTTTAAAACCCTCCAACACATCTTACCATAAATTCAAAGTAAAGAAAGGGACTTCAAGGGAATAATCTTCTACTGGCTCCCACCCCTTGGTAAATTTAAAACCATAGAATGTTGTGTTGAGGTCTGTGCATTATTGAACCCAGAGTTTGGTCATCTATGATTAGATTGGTCTGCCTTTTGATGCCAAAATCAGCAGACAGATTAGAACCTAAGAATTGGCAGACTTAGATGTCGCAAGTTACTCGGAATAATAATGTGTAAATCGGACAATTTATTAACTGGGATAGCAAAATAAACTTAATAAATAAAAACCTTTGAATGTAATTAAAAACAAAAAAAGAAATGGACTTCATGGGAAGCGTTTTCTCCTTGTATCAACACTGACATTGTTGATCTCTCCCTTTGCCTAATTTGGAATTATAGAATGTTATTTGGTGTTTGATCAGCCTATTGATGCTAGAATGTATGACAGATTAAAACAGCAGGAAACACTAACAGTAAGACCCAACGCAATCAAGTTACATTGTATAATCATTGAGACGCTGGTACAAGTATCTGCAAGAAGTTATATAGTATAAGCAGAGATTTCTACCGGGAAAATTAAAAAATGCAACCTCACAAATTATTGTATGCAATTTTATGAATGTAATTGAACTACTAGATTAATTGGAACCTATATTAAGACAAAATAAGGTTTTTGTTCTGCTTTTCTGTGAATACAAAATGTTCATGGCTAATTCCCCCCCCCCCCAATTTTATAGGTGAAGTCCTTGTTTCTGACATCATCGACTCAGATTCATGGCGATTGTGGCCGTCTGGTGACAAAAGATTGATGAAGGACAAACAAGTCTACCGAAATTTGAGCAAAGTGACAGAAACTGATTTGGAAATAAAGAACAATTTCGAATGGACTGCTGACCAGTTGGAATTCTTCATCCAACCTACTACTGCTCTGGTTTGTTTATAATAACGAATTTTTTTTTTAAATCATTTTAATTTATATTATTCAGGTTGTAGTCTTGATGGGTTCTGCTTCGGACAAAGACCATTGCCTCAAAATCCAAAGATGCTGTGAATTGATGGGCCTCCCTTCATGTCACCTCCGCTCATAAAGGCACAGAAGAGACATTGAAAATTCTAGCTGAGTATGAAGGCATGGGAAGGGACATTGTCTTTGTTGCAGTCGCTGGCAGGAGCAACGGTCTCGGTCCTGTTCTATCAGGAAACACTACTTTCCCCGTTATCAACTGTCCTCCTGTTAATCCTACAAATGTCACTCAAGATCTTTGGTCTTCAGTAAATGTTCCTTCAGGTTAGTTACGTCAGTTTCTTTTGTTTTTTCAGTAAGTAAAATTATTTATTTACAGGTCTCGGGTGTACGACAGTGCTCTACCCAGAAGCAGCAGCTCTTGCGGCCGCGCAAGTCCATGCTCTCCACGATCATGTGCTTTGGGCCAAGCTTAGAGCCAAATCACTCAATACTTATGTTAATCTCATGAAAGAAGACAAGAAATTAAATCCCAAAGCATAGAACTAAAATTTTTCTCTTTGAATTTGTATCCATATTAAAAATACTGTTTATTTTTTGTTTGCACTTTGTTGATTCAAACCCTAGTCTTATTAGAAACATTTATACAACTTTATACAATATAAAAAGGATTTATTTACAAATACATATGCAATAAAAGATTATGTTAAACACTGGATGCTGGTTCAGATGGACTCTGTTCGTTTTTGTTCCCTGCCTCAGTTTTAGAACTTACAAATATCCTCGACATGCTCAAAACTTTATCGGTCTTGCACATGTACTTCAGATAAGTCTGTGGAACCTCGCTGAACAAAGGATCCGATCTAGGAGGATTCTTGTCCTCCTCCAATATCACCTGCGTTCCCAGACTGTCTTTCCATTCCCCAGAATAGACCTGTGATTAAGAGACAACGCATTATGTGACCTTAGATTATTAAGAGTTTGTTAAAATTAAGCCAAACTACCTGGTTAGAAACCTGCAAAATTGGATTGTCAGAGTCGAGCCCTATGATTTTAAATTCCTTCTCCATGTCTATTATGTCATCGTCAATCTTTGAATTGAAATCCAAGTAGACAAGCAGTTCTTGCTCCTCCCATTCTTCTGAATCATCGTGATCCATCGGTTCATTGCTCATTTTTACACAATTTTTTTTGTAACAAATAGTTACTTTCACGGTTTTGGAACAAGTCGTTTGTTTAAAATTAACTGTAAATATAAAAAGAACTAGATATCTGTAACCATGGTAGATAATATTACAAGATATTGGTTACAACACAAACAGCAATCACGCGTCATGCAGCAAACACATGACAGTGGTTCCTACTTTCTACAACAATAAGGGAGGTTATGCCACTGTTAGCAGCGTTCTGTGTTATGACAATTTTCAAAACTTAAAAAGTTCACAAGTTGAAATATTTAAATAAAAAATTACTTGTAAATAATGTGTTGATTCTTATAAATATAATGATTTGTAGAAAAATAACAAACGTTGTTGAGACTTATCTACAAGTTTGAAAATATAACAGTTTCTTTGTTGTTTCAACTGAAAATATTTTGAGTTTTGGATCAAATGGCTTCTGATCGTGAAATGTTGAGAGTAGTCTGGGAGGAAAAGCTGCCCGTTTGCTTTCAGCTTCATCAGTCGGATGCTGATATTCAAATCCCCGAACCGTTGTACCTGATGGTGCCGAGGTTAAGCTACTTCCCACTGGTCACGGATAAGGTAAAGTCAACGTTCTGAATACATAAAAAAACATATACACATTTGTATTTTCAAGGTGCGGAAGCATTTCAAAAAATATATCTCGCCGGATAAGCAAGACGCTGAAATGTGGCTGGACTACGATGGCAACCCTCTGCAATGGTGAGTTCACATCAGACGGAAATAATTTTACATCTTTAACATTTGGGTTCTAATCACTGCATTTAAGGAGTAGTTTTTTATCAATGAATCATACTTTTAATGTGAGTCAAACCGACAGAGGCAATCTACTGGTAAAAATTTTTGGTATTCGTTAAGCTTTTAACTGAGAATCCATATAGAAATTATTCAAACTTATTTAAATTTAATCATTTATAACATATATGATTATATATTTGTAATTAAACTAAAAAACAAACACATTTGTTAATAATAAGTGCTTATCAGAATATTGATGTATGAGCAGATATATACATTATTTTTTCATCCTTGTACATATATAAAAAGATATCAAATCGTAGAAACTCTATTTAGATGCAAAAAAATTTTACATTTAGCATAAAAACCGTCATGATACATTATTGTACTTAAAGTACAAAATGGGGTTTCTCTTTTCATACGGATTAGCCTGTTTTATTGTAAACAAGGCAAGATATAAAAAAAATTAAATTAATTGTAACCCCTTTATTTGTTTTGTACCGTATTATTTTTTTTTTTCACATATGGAGTCATAAAGATTTGTTCCTTTAGCACTTTCATCTATTGTGCCAATTTTTGTTAATGGATTTTCTGAAAGATATTGTCTCTTTTATGAAGTAAAGAATTCTTCTGGGGGGCATGGTATGAAGGTATGCGTGGTTCAAGTACGTGTACTCGCATAACAAGGAGTAATTTAAGCTTCAGGGGAGCTTCAGGCTGACAGGATTCTGGTAGCGCCTATAAAAAATTTTAATTTAAACTACAGTAGAAATCGTTTATAACAACACCGGTTATAACATATAAAATCTCCGGTCCCGTGAAATGTCATAAGGAAAAACCATAGTGAACCATTTATAATGAACTATCTGTTATAGCATGCAGCACACAAAGTAACTCCAGCTGTTTAATGATTCAAGAAAAGTTTCTTCCCCTCTTTTTAACTCTAAATGTCTTTATAAAATCTCTAAATAAAAAACCCATGACCTTAGTCATTTCTATTGAGGAAAATTTACGATAATTTCTCCCTCGGGATGTCTCGTTCCAAAATAACAGAAATTGTGAAAAAAAAAAGAGAGAGAAAAAAGATAGTAGTCAAATAACTGTGTACTTTAGTTACCCAAGATTCCAGATATTTTAATGTGATTGTAGTTTATTCCAATAGATTTTGGACCCCTATTCCCTCTTGACCTGGAACCCAGTGTCGTGCTAGACTATTTGAAGAGATATTTTTTAAGGTATTTAAAGCAATTCCAGACAAGTCTTGAGATAATCTTGTCTTGGAGATCCTTTAGAGGTGTCTGAATGTCTGAAAGAATGATTATTGTTGAGATGTTTTTGTTTATTTCATGTGCAATTATTTCTCTAGCTAGCAGTCTGCATAATCATCTTTTGTCATGGGGCGAGGGCCATGCGATAATCAAAATTAGGCCCCTTTATGCCCATCGCTGTATTATTACCTATCTTTGAGCTGTCCGTGTTACCATAGAGGAGTTACAAGTTATCACATTTTTTTTTCTACAACATTATGTTTTTTATGTATGTTCTTAAATTACCTCGTCTTTTATGAAAAATAAATTTTATTTCATCAACATCTATCAAGGATTCATGAGATACATTTTTTTAAGTAATCAGAGGTTCGGTCTTTTCAATTTTTACCCTCATTAACCAACCAGGCTTGGTACTGGATATAGCTGAGTTAAAAAATCAACAAAATTTAAATAATTAACACAAACAAATAAAATTTGAAAAAATTGTTTGGTGATTATTTCAATATTTTTCTTGTGCACTTGTTCAAAAAAATTCCCTGCTCAGTATCCCATTGTTTCTGAACTTAGATTAATAGGGCCCAAAAACAAAACAATAAAAAGTTTGAATATTTGGTTAAGAAAACATCAATAGATGCTACAGTTTTTGGCTTTTTTCACCCAGACCATACTTACTACTACCATAATACTTGATTACTCGTGATTAAAATAGTGGTCGATACTAACACTTGAAATAAGATTTTTAGACAATTTGTATTTCATTGTTAACCAGGCAAAAAAATTAAATTAGAATATTTGTTTTAAAATATTTTATATAGAGAAACTAATTTTTTCAAACATATAGTTCAGATGTGAATTAATAATCTAGAAAATAAATTGTCTAATAAGATGAAACAAATTTGGCTAACTGAATTGGCAAAACAAGAATGAAAGACAAAAATCTCTCTTTTTGAAGTACAATGTCATTATTTAACTAATTTGGTTAAATGTACTTTGCATAAATTGTTCAAACCATTTTTGAGTGAGAAAAAATAACATTTTCTCTAATTGCCTGATAAATGACTTATATGATCACATGTGAATGATAAACATGCTAGACAGAACAAAAATTCTAATGCGATAAAAAAAATTCATGGCCATGTGGAATAATTTCAATTTTCAAACTATTCGGTTTCAATCTTTTCATTTATTAATTTTTATTCTTTTTTATTTATTTATGTTTTTTTTACTTGGCCATTTTTAGAAAGTAGGTACTTACTGCCTTCTAAAAATGATCTAGTAAAAATAAAACAAATAATCCATAATGAATTAAGTATTAAGAATAAATAGTTATTCAGATATCGTGATCGGTCACTAATCTCTACACATTAAGAATAAAGAGTACAAAACAACAAAAAGTGAATTCATTTATTTTTTAGCATGCAGGCTTATTTATTTTTATTTTTTTCTTAGCAGGCTAAGAATATTAAGGCAGAAACTTAATTTTGGAAAGTATAAAGTAAAATAATTCCTGTCAAACAGAAGAGCTTAACTTCCACCTACCCGTTTTGTGTCGCAGAGGGACCAGAACTATGACTTTTTTTTTTTGTTATTCCCAAATATAAAGAACCAGGATCTATGCTGTGTTTCAAACCCAGAACAACTAGTGTAGGAAAATACAAATCGTTTTCATCCATCATTGTCGGTGTAGAATATGTCTTTTACTTTTCCATCATTGTGGGTTGAATATTTTCATATCTGAAGATAATATTAATGGGCAATAAAAACAATAATCAGGAAAAGACAAAGACGAATGAACTGTAAGAAAAGTCTTTTCTCAAAGATTTGGAAGATAGAGAAGCATCTGACAGGCAAAAATCTTCGAGAAAAAGACTTTAGAGGATGACATTGAATGAAACTACATGATTACATTTTTAAAAATGATAACTGGTGGAGTGAGTATGTTGTTCAATCTTTATAAAAAAAGATAATTCCTACAAAGATAGATTAGTTGTTTTCAACGATCCGGATTTCAAGCTTGTAACTAGTAATCAGGTTGAAGGAATTTACAACCACGTCTCTCGACATGAATTGTAAAACTGAAAGCTTAAAAAAAGTCTTAAAATTGTAATAATAATGCAATATTAAAACTGTAATTTTAAAATTGTACACTTTTAGTTGTAAATTCCTTCAACCTGATGATGAACAAGCTTGAAATCTAGACCCTGACAAAAACTAACTGGGAGGAAGAACTGTCTTTTTATAAAGATTGATTACATTTTGTCTGAAATAATTTTATAATAAAACACTTTTTGTATAGTTTTATATAAAAAAGAAATATTTTATCCTGTTATGTATTTTTTTCTTAAATGTTATAAATCTGTACTTTAGCTTCATCAGTAAATAACTAATATATTTGAATTATTTGTGGTTAAATCCTATCGAAATAAATTGGAGCTGAATATAATAATGATATGATGCAAAAATACTCTTTTTGATAAAAGAAATTGCAATTTGGAGGGTTTATCAGTCCAATCAAATATAAATCTTTGTTCTTATCGACGGTTTATTTATTTATAGTTACATATTGTCCTTGCATTTTACAAGACAAAAAGGCTTTATTTTTTACAATTTTTTGTTATTTGATTATTTGTTATGTCAAATTAAAGTGAAAGGTCTGTGTTTAGGAAAATTGTATGAATAGTTGTGTTTATTGCTGTGTTTGCTTTTATAAGTTTTTTTCTTGTTTCGGGTCTGTTTTGTTTTGTGTTGTTCATCAATAATTTAATTTGAACAATTTTTTCTCTAATCGCAAATGGGACAAAGCAAATAGTGTTTCGATAAAAAATTAATCATCACTCTAAAAATATCTTGAGTGGCATGTCATAAATGACAGGCTTCTCGATCTTCAGTATCAGACATGTTTACGACCTAACCATTTATCTAAGCCGTCTTGAATCTATGCCAAATGCACAAATGGCATCATTAGTTTAATATTATTTTCCACTGTTGCAACGAATAAATAGACCAATAGTAGATGTTTTGAGAAAAAAAAAATAGCTAAAATTTTAATTTTTTAAAGTGAAAGTTGTATATTTCAGGTTAAATGACATTGTTTCAGGCATTACCCAATAGGAGTCCTTTTTGACATTTTTGAGAGCGACATACAGCTCCCTTGGGTGATAAATGTGAGATTTGACAACTTCCCAGAGCAAAAGCTCTTGCACTGTCCTTCCAAGTAGTCAATTTCATATGGAAATCAAATCGAAACGTTTCGATCAAAAATAATTACGTTTCAGGGAGTACGTCGAATCTCATTTCCTGTCTTCATTGAAAGAGGCAGATGTAATGAAGCACAAGACACAGATTGTCACTAACATGCAGAAGAAAGATCACCATCAGTTATGGCTTGGGCTTCAGAACGGTATAAAATGTTTTGTCTTTTTAATTAAACTCTTTTTTAAGTCAGGGATTTGTTTTTGTTTTTTAGACAAGTTTGACCAATTTTGGGCCGTGAATAGAAAACTTATGGAATCAGGGCCTGACGAGTGTTTCAAAAATATTCCGTTTAAGTTGTATTTCAGGGAAGAACATTATGTTCAGAAGCTAGTTAAACCGTGTTCACCAGGAGGTGAAAAGAAAAACCTTCGGAGATTTTATTAATGAAGTCGTCCCCGCCTCTGTCGACATGAGTTCATGTGAGTTATTCAAAAAGAATCAACACAGCAAAAACTTGACGGTTTGACATTTCCAGTTAAAATTTTAATCCACGGCATTGAAGTGCCACACGAGACTCCTCTCCAGTGGATGAGCGAGCACCTGAGTTACCCAGACAATTTCCTTCACTTCGTCATCTCCAGCAAGTGTAAATAGTGGATGTGGATTTCTACCAACAATTTTACATTAAATTTTCCTATTCGTGTTCATTTTATTTTTATTGTTAGATAATTTATATACAGTATAGAACTGATTTGTCTTTTGTTTTAATATTGAGAGGAATTTTTTTTAAAAATTAATTTAATTAATTTTTACATCATTTTAACTAAATGTATATATAAAAATAAACAAAACAATTTTGTTGCTAATATTAAGTTTTATAATCTTACATAATCATGTTTGAGTTTCTTTCTACTCTTGTAGTCATGTGAAATATATTTTGTATCGGAACTTAGTGACAAATTAAAACATTCACATTAAATGTTTTCTTGTTATTTTAAATACTGATTCCAAATAACCAGAAATAATTATAATGTTTTGCCCAGTTGTTATTGCAAGGCGGTATTTATGTGTGGAAATGTGGCAAAAAAAAATAGTATGTTGTAAGATTTTTTTATCCTTAGTGGTAAGTCTTTCTAGGTCATTTTTATGGCTATCATCATAAAGATAAATAAAGCACTATGAGCTTATCATGTGTTGTTTGGGAAAACTGTACTGTTCTTTATTATAACTTTGTCAAAATTAAATAAGTTTTGGCTTTGTTTGTAACCAAATTTTGTAATCTAATTAAGCTAAATTAATTACGAGGACTTGCTTTTTAGTGACATAGATTTTTCTTTGGGTATTTCATGTATTCCAGGAAAAAAAAATTGGTAATTAGTGCAATGTTTATTTACTTGTAATTTATCCAATTACACTAATTTTTTTGCCTTATCTTGAATTATCTGTAGTAATTAATAATTGTTCGTTTTTCTCTAATTGTGAGCTTAATCATTTGAGGGGCAGATAATGGTTGTTTTCCTTTTGGGAGCAGATTTTCTTTCCCTGGTTACATACAAATTTTCAGTATTTTTCTTTACTCTGACAAATTAAGCCAAGTCAAGCTTGTTAAATTCTCTTAGTGATATATATTTTTTTAAATTTATCCAATCATGCAGAGATAATTTAAAAAATTTCCTAAAATGATTAAACTCACAATTAGAGGAAAATAAAGGAATTGACAACAGATAATTCCCGATTATCAAAATTTCTTTAATTGAACAAATTACCGGTAAATAATAGTTCATGGGTGTCAAAACAAAAGAAATAATTCTAAAAACGTCTTTCCACTTAGGTAAAAATCCACTGCAAAAGGAAGAAATCAACTTCCGGATTCCACTTCTTAAAATCAAGTCCACACCTAGATAAATTTGAGTTGCGTCCTTACAATTTGTTTAATTTCCTCAAATGCATTGTCAACTACCTTGTTTAGCTTGAGTTCGATGGAGATATAATTAAAACGAACAAAAATGCACCTGTAGTTTGCTGCAAGGATTAAAGATTATACCACAAAAAGATAAAACAGCGAACACTATTCTGCTGCCATTCTCTAAAATGATTAAGCTCACAGAAATTAGGGAAAAATAAAAGATATGACAACTGATAATTTGAGAAAGGGCAAAAAAACGTTTACGAAATTGGAGAAAGTACAAGTAATAAATGCATTTCAATTATAGGTTTATGCATTTTAGCGTTTTATTACAACCCGTTCTTCAAAATTTACACATTTTTTGATTTTATAATCTACCAAAACTTTGCTAGTTTTGTCAATTTTTATTAAGTTTTGTCCTACGAAGAGTTACACTAAGGTTAAGAATATCCTCCCCCAGAAGGATAAAAGCCATACCAAAAAGAAATTAGGTATGACAATTAGAGAAAAATAAAAGATACGAAAATAGATAATTTGAGAAATGACAAAAAATGTGTATTTAATCGAACGAATTACAAGTAAATAAACAATTTAATAATCAGTTTATGCCGGATCGATCGGCCTATTTTGGGAATGTATCCCGTTTGGTCTTTGTACAAATAAATTTCGTTTTAGGGTTTTAGTACACCTCGTTCTTCAAAATTCACGTACTTGTTACTGAACACACGGAATATTTCTTTGGACAAAAAATTATTAATTCTACTTCTTAATTTGAGTAAAAGTAAAATTGTTCTGTAGTCGATTCCTCCTGAGAAAAACAAAATCCGTTCAAAATGATTTTATTTTCTTAAACCAACATTAATGAGTGTTAACTCCCTTAATATTAAATTTTACAGTTCGAAAAGTAAATGACAAAAGCGAGGATAATAATTTGTCTTCTGACTTTGCATGTTTTCTCTTTTATTCCTTTAATGCATTATTATTGCTCAACGAACTTAAATTATCCTCAGGAGTGACGAAATACACGTAGAAAAAAATCTATTACCAAGAAAACTTATCTTCTTAATTGAGCTGAGTCAAAACGAATATACGTAATTCTATGTACGTACATAGAATAATAATAAGAACACGTGTACACCCACTACAAAACAATAAAAAAAAATCATAAACTTACTGCTTCAACTTGTACTTTTTTGACAAGAGAACAAATCAAAGAAAAACAGTTGTTTTTTATTTTACCTAAGTAGAAGCGCCTGTGGTATTACATATTTTTCTTTGTCTTGACTCTTATTTAAATTAAAGAACATAAGAATTTTTAAAATTTCTTTGTCGTATATTTTTTTCTAAATGTATTTTGACACTAAATCCTGTTGATAAATTAAGCTCTTTAAGTTGAGAAAGAAGCGTAGAAGAGAAAAAATACGGCAATGTTATATCTTTTTACACAAATTTATCCTGGCTGTTGTTATATCTTTTATCAGTGGTGAATATGAATTTAGGGAGTGATCAGAAAGTTTTTGAACTTTTTGTTGTGGAATTTAAGCCGAAACGCTTTTAGAATGACAATTTCTGATTGACTTGACCCATAGTTAAATAAATTAAGTATGTAAGTGTTAAGTTTCTCGGTCGTAGATTTTTTTATAAATGTATTTTGACCGCATATACTGCTGATAAATTAAGCTCGTTGAGAAGGGAGCAGTAATTAAAACGTTTTGAGGTGGATTTTAGTGGAAACATCTTTACAATTTCATATTTCCGTTTGACTTGACCCATAGTTAAATACATTAAGTACGTAAGTGTTTAAAGTTAGTTTGTCGTATATTAAAAAAAAGAAGTATTGTGACACTATATCTTGAGGATAAATTAAGCTCGTTGAGAAGCATTAGAAGAGTAGAAAGGAAAAAAAATATGGCAAAGTCACAAGACAAAATTATCCTGGCTGTTGTCATATCTTTTTCCAATAGTGGAATATTGTGATATGAGGGAGTGGCAGTTGAACGTAAATGGGTTGTCCACTTCTACGACGGTGGAAATGATAAAAGAGCGTCGGGCGATGGCCAGTTAAATAGATAAACGATCTTTAAAATAAATGTGGAAAAGCCGTTCTGGTGTACGAGAAGAGCGTAGAAGGGCTGGCGCCAGCTTACATCACAGATCACACAACGAAGCGGGGGAGAAAAAGGTGGACCTGTGCAAGGTGGCCAGGGTTTAGGGGTCAATTTAAAACGCTCAATGGGACAGGGAAACGGAGGTGGAATGCGGGGCGTAAAAAAAGGAGCCCACGGGCCACGGAGTGCGATCGCGTCGTTGTGTGCGTAGCCGATTATGGAGGGGATCGGCGTCACCCTGTCTAGAACGGTGTCCCACCTCGGGGCATGTGGGCGAGCCCCGTTGCCGGTTCGCACCCTCGGCCTTCTTCCCATCCGGTTTTCCGCCGATTTTCCCTAATTTTCCTTCCGCTTCGAGAACCGTCCGGGTTTTTTCTTCCAGGTTCGCGTCTCTTCCGAGCCGTCGCGGGATGTTTTACTGCTTGTTTGACGTGCAGGGCCTCGGCGTCGGAAGTGCGGCAACGCCGGCTCGGCTCTGAGTCGGCCCGACTGGCTTCCCGCCTGCGTTAGTAGTGGGCAGAACGGCTAGAGAGGGGGAAGACGGGGATTGCCCAGTCGGGTTCTCTATTTCTCTCGTTCGTCGGTTTTTCGTCTTTCACCCGTTGTGCGAGGATCGTGATATGTGCTGAGATGGCGCACGGCGTCGAAGAAGCGTTGGAACGGGGCTCGAAGAAGAGGGCGAAGCCCCGACAGGGGAAAATGGGCTCGAGACGGATTTTCTCGCCCCAGTTCAAACTCCGCGTCCTCGACTCGTACAGGAAGGATTCCGACTGCAGGGGGAATCAGAGGGCGACTGCGAGGAAGTTCAACATCCACAGGAGGCAGATACAGAAGTGGTTGCAGATGGAGAGCGCGTTGAGATGCTCGGCCGAGGGAGCGTCGGAGAGCGAGGCGGTGGCCTTGAACCTAGCCGCGGCCAGACAGCGGGACGACAGCCGCCTTGCGGGTTGCCTATCCGAGCCGCGGATAGAAGTCGACAAGGTCTCGGATTCCGAAGACGATCTGAGCGAGGATTGCGACCAGGACGGCGCGCTCGACTTCACCTGCGCCGCCCTCAGCAAAAGGAGGTTTTTCTCCCTGGATTTCAAGCTTGACGTCCTCAACGCCTTCCACGGCGATCCGTCCTGCTACGGGAACCAACGGGCCACCGCCAGGAAGTTCAACGTACACAGGCGGCAGGTTCAGAAATGGCTCGACCAGGAACACCTCCTCAGAGGCGAGGAGAACGGATGCCTAGACCTCTCTTACAAGAAATTCGAGGACGACTCTTCGAGCAGGACCATCCTCGACTTGGACGCACCTAGGACCCAGGTCCAGGAAACCGCCCTATGTCTCGTCAAACGTCCCGAAGCTCCCAAAGAGCTCTTCAGGCCTTACTCCTTGTCACCGGAAGCACCCAACTACGAGCTCTGCTGGGGCAGCTGCTGCACCTTCTACACCCCCATCCACAGCGTGACGGAATGGCTCAACCAAGACGCCCATTACTACAAGCAGGCCGTCAAAGACATCAACCTCTACTCGCCCATGTTCAGCTAATGAAGATCCCAGATCAAATTTAGTTGAGAATAAGTGCCAAATCTTTATAGTTTTTAACTATTACGACTTTCAGACTGCTAACGATTGTAACTCATATGTCTGTTTCTGGATAATTAAAACTTTTAAGGTTATATTATTCGAAAATGTTACGCCGTCTTCCAATTTGTTAATGATTAAAGCTCTCAGGTTTTCTACTTTTAATCCTTGTGTTCATTTATATTTAAACTATATTTTGTATATATAAATGTTATATAAGTATTTTTCTATTTAAATCGTTTAATAAAAAAATGAGAAAACTGTTTTTCAACAATTGTAAATATTTATTAAAGTGTTTTCTTTGTGTTTTTTGCCTCTTGTTATATACAAAACGTATATTTTTAAAGAAAAGAAAATGACAAGAAAAATAGTCGCTTTTGTTTTAAGTGCCTTGGATGAAAAATGTTGTGCCTATATTATAAATATATATATTAGTTATTTACAGAATGTTAATAAAACTTTTTAATGTATTTACAAGGTTAATTTCTTTTCTACCTCTTTTCACCATAGCCTCGAAAGATTTGCTTATTCAATTACAGATTTTTTTCTAAAACATGCTAAACAAATTACTTAGAAATCCAAATCAAGTTTTTTTGCAAACATTGATCATTGTCTGCCTTCAATTCCTTTCCTGTCTTTCTTGCATTTTAATGTTTCACCACCAATTTTATAATGTTATGTGATATAACGGTAACCGATTCTTCTTTAACCTCAAGGCCTTGTCATTTGAGGATAAAATAGCACAAATAATAAACACACAAAAGTAGTAATAAAACCAATATACTGGTTAGAATTCACTCTACCTCAGAGTACTCTATGTTTCTTGGGGTAATTGAGATTAAGCCTCCACATTCGAGCTAATAAACACATTCACACTACCTCAGAGTACTCGATATTCCTTCGGGTTTGGGATAATTTCCATTCAAGCTAATAACTAACATTCACATTATCTCATAGTATTCAATATTCATCTGGATATTTAGGGTTATGATAAAATGGAAACATACTACCCCAGAGTACTTTATACTCCACAGGGTTATTGGGGATAAGCTCTTCCATTCACATTATCCAAAGTAGTCATATTCCTCTGGGTATTTAGGTAGTCCTTTCGTTCATGTTAATAAATTACAAACATACACCACAGATAACTCGATATTCCATGGGATAATTGATAAGCCGTTCATTCTATTCATGCTAATAAATTACATTCACACTACCCAGAATATGCAATATACCTGTGGGTATTTAGGGCTAATTCCTTTCATTCATGCTAATAAATTGCACATATACTGCTACAGATTACTTGATATTCCATGGGGTAATTGACAAGCTCTTCTATTCACATTAATAAATTACATTCACACTACAACAGAATATTCAACATTCCTGTGGGTATTTATGGTTAATTCTTTTCATTCATGCTAATCAACTGCATATGTACTACCACAGATTACTCGATTTTCCATGGGGTAATTGATAAGCTCATCTATCCATGCTAATAAATACATTCACACCACAACAGAATATTCAACATTCCTGTGGGTATTTAGGGTTAATTCCTTTCATTCATGCTAATAAATTGCATACATACTACTCCAGATTACTCGATATTGATTGATAAGCCTTCCATTCACGCAGAGAAAAATGAATAAAAAAACTTGTGTCTCCTTTATCAATGAACTCATTTAATGTAATGCAATGGTTTGGGACTATTGCTAAATTGCTTAAAAAAATTAAGACATTTTAAAAAACATTTCTTAAGGATTTTTTAAAGAAACAAACAATATTATGCCGGAAAGTTATATTATTTTATAAAATAAACATTGAACATAACTTTCTTTACAAAAAACTTGAAAGTGTGAATATGTCCATAATAAAACATGACAAGTTTTCACGTTCCTCTTGTGCATTTTTCATTTTTTTAATTTAAACTTACAAAAGTCTATATTAAAAAATATACTATCATAAGAGGGGTAACAACATATGCAACTGTGATGAGATCTAGTTCACTGATTCCAATATCACAAAATCAATCAACTAAATTTTAAACAAACAAGAAAGAAAAATAAGTGCCAGAACCGCTATCAAAAAGCTGTTTTCTTAAATCACAAAATCAATAAATTAAATAAAATTTATTTCTATAGGAACTTAAAAAATAATGTACAATTGTTGTTAAAAATAAAATATTTAACCTAATTTATACAAATAACTAAAAGAAAATGTTTATGCTTGTTTAAAAAAAGAAATTAGTTAAAAAAAAAGAATGCTTAAACTAGTAAAAAAGTAGTCTAAAAGAAAGAAGTATTCTGTTGAAAAATAATTACTGATCGTCAGTCGAAGAGTTACAATTCCAAAGTTTTGTAACTGTGTTTAGAGTATCTTTAATCAAATCACAATTTTTAGAGGAAATGGATTGAAGGGAGTTCCTCAAGGTGCAAAAAGTGATAAAAGGGTTGGGTACTGAAAACCGTTCCTCTTCAAACTTTGACTTTAACCCTTTAATCACAGAAAGCCTCTTTGCATGGTCTTCGTCTTCTTGTTTGTTGCTGTCTTTGTTGTCACCGGACACCTCTTCGCTGGACCCGTTCTGCAACTGAGCCTCTATGTCTTTACAGTGCTTCAGAACTTTGCCAGCATTCAGCGCCTTTAGCTTCGCGGCGGCAATGCTGTTTTCGAGTTTTTTAATCTCGACGTCTATGATGTGATACTTGAGGATGTCCTTGCTGAAAAGAAGAAACGCACACCGGACGACAGTGTCACTCAGGACAGACATTGTTTCTTTATCCTCATATGGAAGGGAGTTCTTTGTATTAAGAATATCCAGCCAGTAAATGACACTACATGAAATATAAATCTGTACGCACTCTTTCTGGCTTTGGGTAAAATTGGCATACAAGCTAGAATTGCTAAACGGACCTGTTAAAAAAGAAAAACTGTTTAATCTGTATATAATGGGATAAGCATAGGAACTAGGATTTGGAAATATAATTTATAGAAAAAAATTACCATTAGGAAGCAGCCAGACAGAAAGCTGAAGATATATGAGATAGTTTGAAGGATTATGAAGGTAAAAGTTATAAGCACAATCTAGTGCTTGTATAATATGTTTCAAGACACATTTTGTGTTTGAAGGCTGCATGTTTGCTGCGACTGCCAAGCTAAGTTGCCCGCAGATGTATGACCACATCTACAAAAAGAAAAAGTTTAAACAACTGTACAATTTGCAATTTGTTTAGAAAAAAAGTCCTACCTTGTCTTCTGAATCTGGTGTCGGCTTGTTTGGAAGAAACTTTGATAGGACGGAGTACGAAGGCACAAGCTTATTACACATCTCTACTGATTTTTCAAATATATTATCGCCGTTTGAACCCTTCCCACAGATCCAAGAGGTCCCGTAATCTACATTGATATGATTCCATTCTTTTATCAGATTGCAAATATTTATCCAAAGAACGAGGTCCTGTTAAAAATAAAACGTTTAATAATGTTTCAGGTAATCTACATCAAATCCTTACTTTGAGAGTGGAATGTTTCATGACAGTCAATAATGCAGTTTGGTAGTCGTTATTTTCCAAGCTTGTATTTATAGCTCGCATTGCCAGGCTCAAAGCCATTTCAAAGGCTTCTGATTTATGAGCTATTTCAGCAGCGAGAGCCAGCATCGCTCCATCCTTTGAACGTGCGAGGAGTTCAACAGCTTCAATATAAGATCCGCAGTTTAACAAGCTGGAAATACCTTTTGTTAAATAACACAATAAAAATACAACATGATTTATTTACCAGTGTGCGGCAAGGCTGAGCATCCCATTTCCAACGCAATGATTCGCCCAATGCATGAGTACTTTTCTTATTATAGGATCGTCAGGGAGAAACCTGGATTTAGCTATGGCAATCGCTTCACGATGAAGCTTTGCATCAAGCAACAAATCAATGGCTTCTTCAATCTGATGGACACCCAACAGATAGCTTACCGCCATGTGTGTCTCACCCGAATCGGCCAATTGTTGTGCATAGGTTTTGCAACAATCCACCCATAATCTGAAGGAAAAAAAAAACACTCAAAACCTAATTTTGACACGCACAAATAAAGACTTACTTGTGCGAAACCATTGGTGCCAGACTAACAAGCCAGGAGTCAAGACGCTTTTTCCGACATGCGTCTATTATCACCTGGTTGAGGTTACCTGACCATAGAGAAAGGTGTCTTGCATGCTGCTCATTCCCCACATCTCTGTGGTTGTTCTCTGAAACAAACAAAAATATTTAAAAATTGACAATTTGAAGAGGAGAAAAAAACAGTAAAGCTTTTTTACCTTCGACCATCATCAACCTTCTAATACATTTTGACGTTCCAAAGAAATCAAGGTAACCAGACTCACAGATTCCAGGAGTTTTACAATTTGGTTCGATGCCGTTCAGCCGATCCCAGAGAATATCCAAACGTTTTGCACCCGAAATACCACTGCTGGTGACGGGAAACATCGATTTGCTCTTGTGCGCTTTCGGTATCGTTTCTGCGACCATCACCTTCTCTGATTTCTGGTGATTTTCTTTTTTGTCTATTGGGAGAAAGAAATATATTAGCTTAAGAAAAAAGTGTTGAAAAAAATGTTATATACTTGATTTCTGCGTAGGCTCATCTGAATGGTTTAATGAAGTCTTTTCGCCAGGCTCAGTAACAGTCAAATCTTTTGCTTCTTGGGCTGCTGATAACTTTTTCAGGACACCACTTATGCGTTGTTTTTCTAAATTAAAACACAAAATAATTTATGAAAAGAAGACTTAATTAATAAAGACTAAGACTTAACTTAATAAAGAATTAATTACAAAACTAACTTGATTTTGATTTTATTAAATTGTATTTGTTCATATTCCAAACGCGTATCGTGTTGTCTGCTGAGCCGGTAATATAGCAGTCTTGGTGTATTGAGCTTGGAAGACAGCATACGACAGAACAATGGTGCCCGTCGAAACAAGCCAAAACACTTCCCGATATGACATCCCAGACCTGTGATGTGTAATCGTACGAGGCGGAGACGAGCCTTGCGTTAAAGTGTGGACTCCAAGCCAAGCTTACGACCTTCTCGTGGTGAGTGTTAAGACATGCAACGGTTTCAACACCTACAATGGTGATTGTATTAGTTAATTCTTTGTAAAAATTATTATAAAACATTACCTTCATTGGTAACATTCATTATCTGAATATTATCTGACGCAGAAGCAAGCCATGAGCTATATGGTGAAACAGAATTTTCAGACGTAACGGTATCCGGATGCCATACTATGCATTGGATGAGTTTCTTATGGGCAAAAACGGTATGGAGCTGTTCGAAAGTCGACCCATTGACAATGTACAAAGCGCTGTATTTAATTAAAATAATGTTTATTTACGTTAAATGTGCATAAGTGAAACAGTTAAATACAAACCCGTTGCCATTTCCGACTGCTGCTAAAGACCAGTCATGCTTCCAAGCAAGGTCCGTCCTTCCAAGAGATTTTTTAACTTTAGCAGACGAATCACACTTTTTGAAAAATGAGGCCAGATTGTGTGGTTCTAAAAACAAAAAAGGTTAAATTTAAAAGTTAACAATGGTTCAAATTTTTATCAACCTTTTTCAGCATTTTCTATATCATATTGCAAAATATCTCCATCGCCGACGGAATACAGAGCCATGTTGCTTTTCCCTGGTCCCTCTATAAAGAAAAATAATTTCAAACATATTGAACTTTCTTGTGGATATTTAAACAACTTTACCAAATTGTATTACAGGTGGTGCCCAAGTTAATGAATATACACTTTTGTAGTGATGGTGTCTGAGTAATAATGTAGGCGTGGATTCTGTCGTGTCCAATATCCCGATTCTGCCTTCACCTGTGCCGAACGCAAGCAAAGACTCGTGCTCCGGATGCCATGCTACCTAAAAATCACAATAAATCAGTTTACAGATAAAAAGAATAATATTCTTGGACTCACCGCCATGACTTTCGAGTTGATTTTGTTCCAATGTGATGTAATATCATTGTACGAATCATTGCTCATATTCCAAACTAGTATTTTATTGTCTCCCGTACCGATTGCAATTCTAAAAAGTGGAATCTATTAGATGACAACGGGGTGTACCATCAGACGAAAAAATACCTGTTTGGATCAAAAGGTGAGACTGCCATGCAATAAACGATTCCGCCTATTGTCGTTATATCAGTAATAACTTTTCCCGTTTCGAGTTTACAAGCAACTAGGTGTTTATCAAGGGCGTAAGTCCAGACTGTCCTCTCTGAACCGTTTCTATAAATTATTTTTAAGAAAATTAAATTTGAACAAGTTTGCAAGTGTAAAAAGTTAAAATTTACAATGGTTTCGAAGGCACCGCAATGCTAAACAATCCTTTCGTGTGATTTCCATGGACTAGTCTCATAAACTTACTTTTTGATTTTTTTGAATTTGGATCTTTTGGGCTATAAAAGTAAAAGAAAATATTTAAAAAATAATACAATTTATGAAGGCAATAAATGTTAAATTACTTTTCAATAGAAAATTCCTTTAAATCATAGCTTAAAAGTTCACCGAAGAGAGAGCTAGTGACAATATTCATTGGAGAGGGCCACCTGACGCATATCCAGTTGTTCCCAGGGCCACCAACACCGTTTTTACTCCTAGAGAAAAAAAAAAAAAAAAATTACCACACTCTAGGTGAAATTCTGTTCAAAACATACCTATAGCCGGTACTGGCGATTGGGTGGACAGGCAAGTTGAGAAAGCTTTCATAACGACCGTCTGTTCCTGCTCGCCAGAAATAAATGGAACGAGATTTCGAACCGGACGCCAGCAGATAAGTGTTTTCTGTAATCTTAGGGTCTTCGTCCTTGTGGAAAATGTTGTGAGAGACAGGACACCACGCAAGAGAGACAACATCGCTATCATGTCCTCTCAAACGGAAATTCATAAATCCATCACCTTCAACAAACATGTACTTAATTTTCAAATATATATTTAGTTGCATTAAATATTTATAATTATTAAAATTGTCATTATAAAATTAATAAAGGCATATTTTGACTAAAGAATCAATGATGTTTTCATGGTTATTTACCTTTATAATATACCAACCAATTGAAGATCCAAGACTAATATTTTGTTTAACCATAGACTTTTATTCATAAAGAGGCATTTTACTAAATGTGTCTACGCATGTAGGATTTTAATGATACTCAAACTTGTTTCACTTGAGTGTGAGGAACTCGTAAAGCCAAAATGCATTTATGTAACATCCAAAATCTGGGAGTGTAGACAGATTCAGTGCTGGTTCAACATTTATTCACAAACTCGCATACCAACACCCACCATAAGCTATTAAAATAATAAATACAATTTTTAAAGCGTACCGTGCTTTGGTCCATTATATAGAGGGTGTAGGTATAAAAAGTTATTCTTGGGCCCAGTCTAAGTTTGTTGATTCCATATGACACTTTTTGAAGGAAAGAATCTCTCGTACCTATTGTTAAAATTTGAAAGTGTATGTATTTACAGTGCAATTTCCCCAAACAAACACTTCTAATAACGAAACAATTCTTAGCATTATCCCATTTACCTTACTAAGACTACTTTTCATAATCAGACATTCTAATAAACGGACAAGGGCACTACATTTATAAATTTTTTAATGAAAAAAAAAAGTCTTATAAAAGGACAGCAAAAAGAAACTCGCACAAAACTCTTGAATGCCACTGGTGCTTCCTGTTCAGTTCTCAAGTAGTGTTTGTGATAAACTGATTCAGTGATGGGTGCAAAAGTAAATAAAAAAATCCACAATAAAAAGAAAATTAATGTCTGGGCAAAGAACATTTATTTTTTACTTTCACTTAACATACTTAATTTTTTTTTTGTAATCAAATTGTTTTGTAATCAAATTGTTACTTATCATTTTTGTCTGTCCTCACTGGGTTGGTTTGTAAACAAATTTTGGCATTTTGCTATGTTCAATGTTTTTTCTATATTGATTTAAAAATCGTGAGATGCGGTCTGGCGTGATGTAGGTTTCAGAAAAATATTTTCTTTATCGTGCCAACGTTTTGATCTTTATTGAGATCATCTTCAGGGCAGATCTCAATAAAGATCGAAATGTTGGCACGATAAAGAAAATGTTTTTCTGAAACCTACATCACACCAGACCGCATCTCACGATTTCTAAATAAATATCGATTAACGTCACTAATCACCACACAGGTTTTTTCTATAAATTCACTAATTTCGTAGTCCGCTTGATCAATTAATATATTATAATTAATTCAGGTTTTTAATTGAGATAAAAAAAGTCAATGGCACGAGCGGGATTCGAACCCACGATCTTCGGCTTTATACGCCGCTGCTCTACCACTTGAGCTATCATGACTTCAATCCACTCGGACAACTTCCCATCTCAACACCACCTTTTGAATTTTCCCTCCTTTTTGCCATTTTTCAAATGTCGTGTAATCGGATTGGATTCTCGATGACAAATGAAATGGCCACGGAGAGCTTTAGTGAAGTATACTTCATTCCAAATCATTAAATTCACTACTTTCGTGGTCCGCTTGAACAATTAATATATTATAATTAATTAAGGTTTTTAGTTGAGATAAAAAAGTCAATGGCACGAGCGGGTTTTTTCTATACGAAAACGCTTCTAATGCACAGATAAAATCCCATTCCCAAGTTGTGTCCGTTTATGTATAAATGTAATACGTAAATTCTGTATTCACACCTGAGCGGTAAGATTTTTATTGTAGAAATATTAGATAAATGACTTTTATCTTAAGATAAATAAGGTTCACACCGAAGCGATAAAACATGAGCCAGCCAGCCAATGTCCTCCTCACTCTTTGAATTTGCCATATCTGCCTTTCGCAATATCATACATCATTGAAGAAAGAGACAAACAGGCCTTGTCACTAATGTCGCAATCGTACAGATGTGAACTAATTTTTCATTCCTTAACGTTTTTTATAGGCCTGGGCATTGCGTATCTTACAAGCCAATTATCGTATATCGCTTACGACCTAAACATGTGTATCTTACCACCCTGGTGTGAACCCTATCTAACACGTTCGTTGCAGATGATGCCACAGTGGTATAAAACTGAAAATATCCGCCTCATAAACAAGTCAAACGGAGTATGTCCTGCAGTGAATACCTTAATCATATACTTTGGATATTAGGTGAAAGAGAAATATCAAATATATTTTAACTTTAGTTTAGCTTATAACTACCATGTGCTGGGAGCTGAAATAACCAGTTGATAGCCCTGGATCCTAATTTTGGTTGACAGAAAGGGCAAGAATGAAGTCTAAACATGGATACATATAAAAATCACTAAACGTGAGAATCACTCGCGAAACAGCAGTCTCGGTTTATAGCCATTTCTATGAGGCAAAACAAGGTGACCCATCAGTTGCACGAGGCAAGCATACCGTTCATATCTACACCGAATGCAGCATCAGTGTTTACTATCATGGTGATACTTTATGTTAACAATAAAAAGAAAACAAACAAAGAAAAAGCCATATTTCCTTCCAGGTATCTTCTGTCTTGTTCTTATTATGATGACTTTTATCTTTAGCATACCACAAAAATTGATAGCTCTGATACAATTGGATAAGTCGAATGCAGGCCTCCTGGTTCATTCTGAAGCTTGAGACATGTTTCTGTTTTCACAGACAATGCAAAGTACTTCGAACTGAAAACTTTTTTTAAGGGTTTATTGCTGGGTTGATGCAGAATACAATTCTTTCTTCCACTGCGACCTAAAAGGTCTATTGTGGAATCCCTACAGCTTATAGCCATACCGTGGAAGTGCGCTATTCACTCAGCACTTTCCTTGGTGCCTTCCTGGATCTCCTTGGGTGTGAGAAATATCCTACCAAAGAGGCTGTATCGTAAACGGGCTAATGCTTTAACCTCGAAACATACTCGTGCAAAAGTTTTTGAGAGAGGCCTAGGTATACAAAAAGCTAGATAAGTTTCATGAAACAGTTGCACGAGTGATTTTTGTGCATTGGCAATGCAGCTTTATGTTCTACCCCTCAATGACCTTGACCTATGCTACCAAACAGCGAAAAGATTTTTCAACTATTTGGAAGTTTGAAAACGTATACGTAGAATTCTATTCAGTTTGGGGATGGGCATTCAAAGGCTCGAAATCTGTTCAACTACCAAAAACAGTTTGTGAGTAGAACTATTGTTTGCAACTATTAAATTGATATATTCACTTTATCTCAATTATTTCTAATAACATTTGGGTCTCATTCTCAAATACAAGTCCAAGGGTTAAGCCAGGATCGTGAGATACGGTATGGTGTGACAAAGGAAAAAATGGGTAATGGTTCGACCTGATTAGCCTTTCAGGATTATATAGTCTGGTATAATTAGGGAAAGGAGAGACAAATTGTTGAATTAAACTATGTAGAAAATAATTATTTTATATGTTTTGTGTGTTATATGTATGTTATTGACATTGAATTTGATCAATGATATTAGCGTAGCTGCGACTGAGTTTACATATGTCTGTTCTGTACTTGATGCTGTGTTTATCTCTGTTGATGTAAACCATTTCTAAAAAGTTACGTTTATGTTTGTTTTGTGTAATATTTTTGGATTGTTGAAATCGAAGTTGTATTGGCGTTCAAAATGGTGGGTAGTCAGTGCTTTAGGATTCTGTTTGGGTTTTTTTGCAATCAGATATGTTGCTTTACCCTCTTATCCAGACATTGGGATGTAATTCTGATGTAAGTTGCCGGACAATTTAAACAATTGATTTTGTAAATTACATCAGACTTTTTTTGTTACTGGTGTGGGATCTTTAATTTTGGAAAAAAGAGCGTGAATAGTTTTATAGTTTTTTAATGCTATTTTAAAGTTATCAGAAGAGAGAAATGTGTTTAATTTATGTGATAGGCTGTGAATGAATGGCATGGAAAATGGTATGTTGGTTTGTCCTACGTCACACCAGACTGCATCTTATGGTCTCCAAATAATCATTAATTAATTGATGGTCAGTAAATAACCACACATATTTATAAACATTGTTTAAGTTATACAAATTCTTATGTCATATCTTATATGTATTTGTATAATTTAAACAATGTTTATAATCCCAGGTCCTGAAGATGATCTCAATAAAGATCGAAACGTGTGGTGAGTAGTGACCGTTAGTCGATAATTATTCAGAAATCGTGAGGTGCAGTCTGGTGTGTAGGTTTCAGAAAAACATTTTCTTTATCATGCCAACGTTTCAATCTTTATTGAGATCATCTTCAGGGCCTGGGATTTACAAACAATGTTTACATTTAACAAATACATTTAGGATGTGGAAAAGTGAATTTATACAATGCAAAATATATTTTTTATATTCAATCAAAGTATTTCTACTCACGTCTTCTGTGTAATTGTGCCATTCTTGCGGGTCGTGTTGAGAGTGCCAGTGAGATATTGCTGTTTTATGTTTATATACATTGGATTTTGAAGGGGTGGGGAAGGAAGTCGGTATAGAAAAGGCATTTTTACCTACTTTTTTCCCCACCCCTTCAAAAATCCAATGTATATAAACAAAAAACAGCAATACCTCAACATGACACGCAAGAACGGCACAATTACACAGAAGACAAACACTTTGAATGAGTAGAAATACTTTGATTGAATATAAAAAATATATTTTGCATTGTATAAATTCACTTTTTTCCACATCCACATGTATTTGTTAAATGTAAACAATGTTTGTAAATTCCAGGCCCTGATGATGATCACAATAAAGATCGAAACGTTCGCACGATAAAAAAAACATTTTTCTAAACCTACGTCACACCAGACCGCATCTCACGATCTCTAAATAATCAATATTATGAATATTACATTGTCACGGCCCCCTGGAACAAATAGAGTAGCAAAGGGACCAAAACAAGGGTTAGGTGGTAGGAGAATCTAAGATACGCCAGACGATACCGGTCAGGTGTATCTGAGACTTCGGCCAGGAAAGAAGGCGGCACATTACTGCAAATATTGGCATACTTTCCTCTTACTATTTCCTGTGTTTGTTTTTCCAAGTGTGTCATTTTAGTTTAGGAATTTTATTTCAGAAGTTAATTTTATTTTGTATCAGTAGTTCATTTTATTTGGCTTAATCTTTCACTAGTTGTGTATTAATTTGGTGTTGGGAATTTAAATTTGTAATTTTGTCTCAAAGCTCAAAGAAAATTTTAATTGTTGTGGGTTCATTTGGAAAAATCAACAAAATTTATATTTTACTTATTTCAATTTCTAAAATATTGGTATCCCTAAATCGATATTTCCAAGAATCCCTAGTGTGGCTATCATCCATGAGTCAGGGGTGGTCACAACATGAATAAATATATTTCAAAAAATTAGTTACTAATAAAAGCAAGAAATTTCATAAAGGTTAAGAAAGGACACAGCATGTTTAAGATGAGATAATTTAAAAGTATGAAGTTCAGGCAGGAAAAGACCTGTGCTTTTGAAAAGGACAGTTCTCCCAAGGCCATACATTTTTTGTTACAAGTTACCAAAGGTGACAGAATGCGAACCTTTAATGCTGTAGATGATGACAAGACCGGAACGGGCACCGATGCCGATCAATTCTTTATTGTGCGGACAGCAGGCGATGCAGATGGGGAAAATTTTCGTCCCGATTTGGAACTTGCGAATTGTGTTGCTGAGCAGGTCCCAGGAGACGATACTGCCTAAACCACTTACGGAAACGACCAAGTTGGGATCAGCTCTGGACCAGTCGACACCGACTATCTGCTCGTCCTGAAAAAAAAAAAAGTTAGTATCTTTTAGTAAGTCGCCTGAAAGTCAGAACTAACCGGGTGGCCGGAATGGGAAGAGATGAGAGTCTGCGTCTGCCAGTCCCACAGGTGCACGCTGCCGTCGTCGCTACAGGACACCACGTGGTTTTTATACTCGGAATCCGCCGGAGAAAATGAGACGCAATTGATTTTGTCCTTGTGCCCCATCGGAATGAACTTGGGCTGGAAATCGCACGGCTTGACGAAGTTCGGGTCCTGCTTTATAATAACAAGCTCGTGCTTGGCACCGTAGCCGATCACCGTACCTTCGTCGTCGCATGCTAGGATATTGCTCAGGTACCAGCTCGGAGAAGAGGGAATAGTCAATTCGCACATTTCGCCTTTATTCGGATTATCCGACAAGTCGGGACTTGCACGTTATGGCAAAATTGAACACCGGCCGGCTTGGAAAATTATAGTCAAAAGCTCCTTCCGAGTAGAAATGAAAGGACTTGGAGGTAGAAAAAAGCTGACAGGCCTAAAATTCGGTTTTGTACCGTAAATTAACGTACCAACGACGTCCTAGGCGGGATACTGCGTTCAACAGTTCAACACCTGGCCGCGTACTGGTCCACTGGACAAAAGGACCGGCGAGCTTTAACGAAATCTCACGGAAAATTTCACCTGTAGCCGAATCCCCACTTCGACTGCGGCGTGAGGCGTCGTTACAAAGCACCGAGGTTACACTACAGTTAAATACCCAACGGCCAACAGGTATCTGTGTTATACCGACTTGATATAGTTTTAAAATAATCATCGATAAAAGATACATATAAAATACCCAGCAAACCACAAAGAAAACTTAAAAACACGATAGAATCGAAGAAAAAAGAAGGATCAATTTTCAAATGTGTAGAGATTAGTGACCGTTAATCGATAGTTATTCAGATATCGTGAGATGCGGTCGGGTGTGATGTAAGTTTCAGAAAAACATTTTCTTTATCGTGCCAACGTTCGATCTTTTATTGAGATCATCTTCAGGGCCTGGGATTTATAGTACTAAATGTAATTGTTAAATGTAAACATTGTTTGTAAATCCCAGGCCCTGAAGATGATAAAAGATCGAAACGTTGGCACGATAAAGAAAATGTTTTTCTGAAACTTACATCACACCCGACCGCATCTCACGATATCTGAATAACTATCAATTTTCAAACTTCATCTCAACAGAACATGAAATTCAGGAAATGAAACCGCGAAATTTCTCTAGCTGCAAAATAGCCAACATGTTATTCAGTGGCCGATTTGTTTCTATTTCGATAGGCAGAAAGAAGGACCCCAACAAAGAAACAAATTATATAAAACCAATATGGCAAAGTTATGAAAAATTAAAAAAAAAAAGTACTACTTGGCCAACAGACAGACACAGATAAAAGTACATGGAGATAAACGTGTAGGTTAACGTTCATTATTGCAGAACCAGATAGACAGACATAGTCAACATACTCATAACTAGTATCTGGATATGCGATATGTCAAAAAAATGCATTAATAAAACCTCAAATGTGCAATATTATATGCACTAAAAACCTTTCAAATATGCCTTATAATTTTCAATGAAAATATGTAACAAGAGCTTGAATTTATATACAATAAAAGTTCTCAAATTATAAGCTGTAAAAAAACCTCTCAAATATGCCATCTAATTTTCACTGCAAATATCAAATAAGCAGAAAGAGAGAGCCTGAATTTATATGCAATAAAAGTACTCAAATATGCCATAAAAATGCATTAATCAAACCTCAAATGTGCAATATGTATTTTTTATAAAGCTTTTGTATAACCCATACTAGAATACGCTACATCTGTTTGGAACCCATAATATCTAAATTATCAAAAATTTATTCAATCTGTACTGAACAAATTTTTTTAAAAAACTTTCGTACAGACTCAATCTTCCTCTGAATTCCTCCTACCCTGGAATCCACGCTCAATTTAAACTTTTCGAGCTGGCACTAAGAAGTGGTTACTTTGATAATGTTTTTGTATTTAAATTATTATACAATCTCATTGACAGTCCTTTTCTCCTCTCTCTCTTACACGTCCCTTCGCACTCTCTCAAAATACACAAACTATTTTATATTGAATTCCAAAGCTCTAACTACATAGTCTCTTCTCCTCTACGGCATGATGATCAAAAGTAACATCTGCAATAGCATTGACTTCTTCAATAGTTCTGTGCAATCTGAGAAAAATCATATTCTACAACCCTACTCTAGTTGAATTTTCTTACAATTTATATTTTTTTAAATGCTTTTATATTTCGTACTGTTAACAGTTTATTACAATTTATTTCATTTGCTGGTTCACCTAAATCTTGCACTCTAGTCTTATTATATATCTACAAAAAGCATTGTTTTCATTAAATATGTATCTAAATATTGTAGTTTCAATTGTCTTTCAGCTTTATATTGTTTCCTTTGCCTTAATTTACTTAATAATTATGTCTTTTTATTTTTGTTGTTGTTCAGTTTTTACTCTTTGAATTGTATTTGATATTATCATGTATATATGTCCTTATTATTTTTGTATATATAATATATATATTTTATTTCTATTATTTTTTTAAATTGTAAATTGTATTTTTATATTGGATTTTGATCCGTAAATTAAAAAAAAAAGAAAAAAATTATAAGCACTAGAAAACCCCTCAAATATGCCGTATAATTTTCACTAAAAATATTAAAATATGTAACAAGAGACAGCTTGAATTTATATGCAATAAAAGTTCTCAAATTGCAATATTATATGTTCTAAAAATCCTCTCAAATTTGCCATCTGATTTGCACTAAAAATATCAAAATCCGCAGATGGAGGGAGAGTCCAAATTTATATGCAATAAAAGTCTTGAAATATGCCATATAATATGCAATAGTAAAACCTCAAATATGCAATATTATATGTACTAAAAAAAATTGTTAAATATGCCATATAATCCATACATGTATTTAGTAGTCATAATTTTAATTAATTATACTAGCTCAAGTGGTTAGAGGAGTGGCATAGTGAGTCGAAAGTCATAGGTTCGAATCTTGTTCATTACACTAGCTTATTCATCTCAAGCAATCCATTGGTATTTTAAATTAATTAAAGTGCCATATAATTTTCACTAAATATATCAAAATATGCAGCAAGAGACAGCCAGGATTTATGCACGATAAAAGTACTCAAACATGCTCTAATAAAGCCTCAAATGGCCATATAATTTACAATAAAATATTAAAATGATGTCAATCACCCACACAGCAATGCAAGAATGTCAATCACCCATCCAGGAAAGTTAAATGAAATACGAATCAAATTTTAGGTTCTAGTTTTTTCCTCTCATGTTCTTAGTTAGGGATGGTTAGTTGCCTAGTTTATTTTAATTTTTTTTTAAAGCAATCTTAAAAATATGTAGAATAAAATTTTAACCATTGTACCAAGGAGAAACATCTGTTCACTGTGGTTAAGTGATAGCAAAAAGAATATGCAATTGCATACAAATTCTACTTACAAACTACATAAGTCTTAAACTATATACATATCTGCATCCAATCAACAGTAGCTAAATTCCAGAAAAGCATGGCTTCAGCCATAAACAACCACCGATTCGTTACTCTTTTACGATTATAAAATGAAATCTTTCACTACACATCAACAGGTCGATGCTATTTTTCTCAACTTTTCTTAAGCCTTTGATCTTGACAACCAAGCTATGAGTTAGTAAAATTTTCATGTTTTGGAACCCATACCTCCTCATGAAATAGTTTCTTTCTTAGTCTCCAAAAAATATGTTATGTAAAAATACATTACATGTATAATATACAATTTTTATGCCATTAATATGCACTAATAAAATTTGAAATTCACAATTTTATTTGCAATTAAAAAACCTCTCAAATATGTCATATATTTTGCACTAAAATATCAAAATGTGCAGCAAGAATGTCAGCGACATGACCATTCTGGAAAGCTCATTTACTGGTTCAAACTCCGCAGACCCCAAAGTTTTTTTTGCAATTTCTTTGTGTGTTTGAATGTCCTCAACTATAGACCTATCTACATCCAATCAGCAATAGCAATGTTCAATCCTTTTAAAAAGATAATTCCTACTCACAGTAAGTTGTTTTCAACAATCCGGATTTTGAGCTTTTTGCTCATCATCATGTTGGGATTTTACAACCTGATGATGAGCAAAAAGCTCGAAATCCAGATCGCGAAAACAACTTACTGTGAGTAGGAACTATCTTTTTAAAAGGATTGAACACCGCACTCACTCCACCATTCATCATTTCTAATAAGTGTTCAATCTGTCATATTTAATAAATTACAACCCTTGTTAAACAGTTTAATAATTCTAAAAAGCATAGCAACATCCATTTAGATAAACATCCATAGATTTGTTACCTTTTCAGGAATATATAATGAAATCTTTTGCTGTACATCGGCAAGTCGATGCTATTTTTCTTAAGCCTTTGATCTTGATGATCATGCTATGAGTTAGTAAAACTCTCATGCTTTATTGAGCTTCATAGTGCTCCTCATGAAATAGTTTCATTCTTAGTCTCGAAAACATGTTATATAAAAATATATTATACGTATAATATAAAAATTGTATGTCATATAATATGCACTAATAAACAATCACTGATTTGTTAATCTTTCACGAATATATAATGAAATCTTTCACTGTACGTTGGCAGGTCGATGCTATTTTTCTTGAGCCTTTGATCTTGATGACCATGCTATGAGTATGTTGTGTATGTCTGGTACTGCAATAATGATATACATATGAGTGTTTTATCTGCCTGTTATTATCTGTGTTTTATCTGATTTGCTTTAACTAGAGTTAAAATATTGATGTAGGTTTTGTTTGTACAAAAAAGGAATGAGCCTTTTCCAATTGTGCTCTGTGAATATTGACATTTCTTCTTTGCGTTTAGAAAATAAAAAAGAGCTTATATATGACAGACATACACGGCAATTTGTAATTAAACTTTTATCCGAAATATAAACGATGTAATTCCCAGTCTGAGAAGTGGCAGGCCGGAGGGAAAACTCGAGGGAAATTTGACATCTTCCGTTGGTACGAAACGTCGATCGTGACTGGTATTGTTTTGCATTAGCGACTTGTATATCACTTTTAAGTCGGGTCGAGTCGAGAAAGCGAGTGTTAAGAGTGACGAGGGAAGCCGCGACGCCGAGCCGAGAGATGCACCGCCGGCCGTGCGACGTGTGAACAGTGGACCGAGTCGCCAAACCAGCTGCCCAGAACATGGATGAACTCAGGAAAAGGATCCCAGAGAAAAAGGAGAAAGACCCTTCTAAACTCTCAGAGGGTGAGAGTGACCAGGTAGGGGCATTAATGTACAATTGAAAGTCTTATACTACTTTCTAAAAATAAAATTTAATAATAAAAAAAAAGAAAAGAAGCCCCCATGGTTACAACTTCAATCAATTATATAACTTATTGATTTTTTTTCTTCTAATCTCTGTTTCAGAGGGATGATGTCGATTCGGAGGATGACAAAGTTGACGTGTCGCAGTCGATTCCGCAAGGGACGAACAAGACACCTGACGTATTGGACAGTGCGCTCAGCGGTCTTCCGCAAAGGTGAGATTTTAAATGTCAGTTTATGATAGATAATTAATACTTTGTTTTCTCCATTCATCCTGGGTATGTTACTTATACAATAATCAGAAATCAAATGAACTTTCTCAGTATGTGTGGTAGCTGAGTCGTTAGGTTTTGCTATTCTGCGTACAAATCCCAACAAACCTCTTGGGTTTTTTATTTTTTATAAAAAAAATTTCTTTTGGTTTATTTATTTTAAATTATTTGAGAATAATTTGAAAAAGTACGCTGACTCCTTGTCCATAACATCTTATGGGTATGACAAGAATTACTTCGCTTTACTGAACTTTCTATTCAGAAAAAACTCCAACAGTTACCCTTAAATTTTAACTTGTCTGGCAATTTTAGGCGTTAATTATTGTCTTAAATACTGTCACATTAAAAAGCCTACTCTCAACTATTTTAAAAAAAAATTTAAACGAGGGTTATTCAAATACGAGGTTATATGAACCCTTGAGATCTGGTGTTTTTGAAAAAAAAAAAAAAAAAAAAAAATTGTATGTCGGGTTTGAATGCAGAAAATTGTATGCCGTTAGATTCGAACCCACTTAGTTCAGTTAATTATTCTTTTTATTTAAGGTCTTAGTAAATTGAAATAATTAAAATGGTCAATTAGACCACTAAACATAAATGGATTATACTTAGTCTTTAATAACATCTTTAATAAGAATATAGGGGGTTGGTAGCCGCAAAGGTTTAGGCGTTGACACAGCGCTCATCACTGTAAGGTAAAGGTCCTGGGTTCAAATCCAGCACCCCTGCATTCGAACCTGACATACTTACAAATGGGCTCTTTTTCAAAAACACTCATATCACCTCTGTTAATGTGAACCCTCGTAAAAATAAAATAAAATAAAAATAAGAATATAACTCGTTCAAAAAATAACATGGCAATATGGCATAATTTAAAATTTTTAAAATTGGTTGTTTTTATCAAAATTTGTACTTCCCACATGGAAGAAAACAATACATTGTTGCTATATACATATTAAAAAAAAAAAAAAAAATAGTTGTCTATATGCTTGTTCAAAGGAAAATACAATGCAACCCACATCAGCAAAGTTATTGAAAAGGTAGTTGCTCTAATTAAATACAATAGAACATACCATCTTTAATTTGGATTTATAAAATTTAGTAAAAGGTTAAAACTAGGCTGTTTGTAATTTAAAAAAATTAAAATAATGGGGGTTTTCAACGGAAGAGGCCATATCAACCCCTGAGATACACAAAATCTTATGGGTAGTTCAGTATCCAACTCCTCCTGTATGACAGGAATTACTTTACTTACTTTTCAATGCTTATAATCATAAGATTTTGTATTTTATTTTAGTTTTTTTAACACTGCTGATATTGTTTGTCAGGCATGTTTTGATATATTTCCATCGTTACCTCTCGCATTTCTTGAATATAATAATCGTTGAATTAACAAACTAGCAAGAAATAGGTCGACTAGATGGTCAAGCTATAGGTTCATAACATTGCCATACCCGATTTAGTGTTTAGAAATCGAATGGAAAAATCTATTTTTAACTGTTGGTTCTTTTTCCATCTGCCAGCAAAGTTTATGAAACTTCAAAGCAGAAAGCAGAGGCAGCGCAGCTGTTTTCATTCGTTTATTTACAATACAGCCAGGCGACTAGATTGGCCAGGACAAGTAACAAATTGTCTATGTCAAAAAGTTTTTAACAAAATCATTAAAATTTTGTTAAATAAATTGAATTTGGGGTTGGTGATAGGAAAAACAAACAGAGAAAAACTGGAACGATATGTTGTTTTTGGTTTATTTACATACAAAACTAAAATATCGCTTAAATCGTTCTAGTTTTATTAGTAATTGAGTTTATTAATAAAGATAAATCTCGTAAATATACTTTTCTTGACAAAGGAATCCACCAATCCTTTTAAAAAGATAGTTCCTACTAGTAGATAGTAGTGTAGATAGATCATGCCAATAAATACATTTACTCTCAACACACACTAGGTACAAAAAACTATCATTGCTATGTAAAATAAAAACAACCAAATTTCCTCCAAGAATAGGAACAAGGGACTCAGATATTTGCTGCCGTGGCTGGGTGGCATTCCTATCTGCTCTTTATATGGAACCAAGGAATTGCTTCAACTAACTAGGACACATTGAGTAACTTTCTCTCCATGCTGGGCATAATGTGTAACCAATTAGTTATTTACAATGGTGTATTCTTTCTTACGAGCGTGCTTTTGCGGTCTAGAAACATTGGATGTTTGATTTTATTTCTTAAAACAATGAGGACAGAAATAGTGTTTATTTTACAAGGGAGTACACTCTATAAACGAATTTGTATGAAACTGTGCTGGAAAACTGCCTGCCAAATGAAATGTAATTTGAATATATAAAAAAATGAAATAAAATGAAAATATTTAAATTATTTTTTATATATTTTTATTTTGTTTTAGTTTTTATTATATAATGGACTATATTGTTAGTAATTTAAGGAGTAAAAGTTAATAATTTTACTCAGCAGAACAAATTTTGAAAGGGAAAAGCTAATTTTAAAATTATTCCAGAAAAACAACATTGAAACATTTCTCAACAAAGGTTACATAATTATACTTGAATGAATAATTTACATATGGGGACGTTGGTGGCTGGTACATTTTAGGCATTGACACGGCGCTCACCACTGTAAGGTGAAGGTCCTGGGTTTGAATCGTTACAAATTTTTTTTTCCAAAAACACCGGCACCCTGAGGGTTGATATCACCTCTGCTGGTGAAAATCCTCTACAAAAATAAAATAATTTTTTAAACGTTAACTATAATGTGTGGTGAGTAGTGACCGTTACTCGATAATTATTCAGAAATCGTGAGATGTGGTCTGGTGTGATGTAGGTTTCAGAAAAACATATATATATAACTTATACTTTGATTGAATATAAAAATTATATTTTGCATTGTATAAATTCACTTTTTTTTCCACATCCTACATGCTTTTGTTAAATTTAAACAATGTTTGTAAATCGCAGACTCTGAAGATGATCTCAATAAAGATTGAAACGTTGGCACAATAAAGAAAATGTTTTTCTGAAACCTACATCACACCAGACTGCATCTCACGATTTCTGAATAATATTTAAATATAATTGCATGTGCAGCTGATCATAGAAGAAATGAACAACTTGAATATTTAAATCATACATCTGAGCTTTAACAAATTATACATTATGTCGTAAAGATTATAAAATTAGGTTTTCTGGAGGAAAAAAAACAAAACAACTAATAACAGAAACTATTATTTTATTACGACTTTGTTTTTGCCTTCATCATTGATTGTTGCAACAAATGTCATACTTTTGTTTTTACTGTCAGTGTGGCCGTGCAAGCTTTAATAAAACTTTGTACATCAGTTTTCTGATAAGGGTTCTATTCAAGTCCCCCCCATGACAGAGTTGGCTTTATTAACAATATTGATTTTTCCAAGTAACCAGTTGGCCCCGCCGGTTTGGCTTCTGTATCAAATATAAATTATTTTATTTTAAGTCAATCGCTTTGGTTCCATGGTTGAAATTTTTCAAATTGAATTTAGTATATGATAATTATTAATTTATAATCAGTGTTAAAATTATTTTTTGGTGATGTTCCTGTTTTTAGTTTAAATTCTATTGACTTTGTAATTTTATGTAAAGTGTTTTATTGTCTGAGACTGATTCAATGACACTTGAGCAAGCATACATTAAAATATTTAAATAAAATATAAAGACAAATCTCATAAAACAAAGGGATTTTATTTTTATTTTTACATTAATCTTCCCAGCTCACATGTATTATTAATGCATAATTATTATTAAACATTGAATAAATACAATTTCAAGGATGTCGGGCTTGCTAATTGGCTTATTTGAGTAATTGTTTTGACATTGAATTTTGGGTTTTTCTTTTATTTGGTTAAATTGTGTTTATTTAGCAGTTTTACTTTTGGAATTAAACTTAAAAATTTGTCTTTCTTCAATTGGTGTAATTTTATTGTAAAATATAGATTCTTAGTCATGATGATAACTGGAAGTAAAATTTTCTCTTATTTAATACATCAGGGAGGGGGACAATAAGCCAACGATGATTCAGCAGAAAATAATATTTAAATTTTTTAAAAGGAAAAGCGTTATTTCACAAATGTCAGCTTGGTACTGTGAAACACGTTTTTGTCATGTCATTGAAGTTGTCAAGATAAATCTATTGACAGCCGGGCTAAAGAGTACTCGTTGTATAGGATACTGTCATTGATTTTCAGCAACCAACTGTATATAATTCATATGTCCATATTTTATTTAATGGTTAATTTTTTTTTTTAATTTTCAGATGGAAGAATTGGATCGTGAGAGGGATATTTACACTTCTTATGATTGGGTTGTTTGGACTCATTATTTATTGGGGTCCATTGGCACTCATGATAACGGTCAGTTCGATAAAAACGTTCATTAAAATTTTATAAAATAAACAAAAGTTATATCAAATCTCAAGAATGGATTATCTTTGTTGTTTGAATTTCATATATTGTCTAACGGTCTGACCCCATGAGAGCAGTCATTTATAAGGGGGAAATTTATTTTCACCGTTTTATGTAGCTAGTAGACGAGATGTGTAATTATTGCTTTTACCTCTCCCCCAAATGTTGACGACCTCGACAGGATCCACATTCTGCTTTATGAAGGCCTCTTAATTCACCTTGGACCTCTTTATAATTATCAATAAATTCAGTTTTTATACATATAATATTAAAAAATTGACATTGAATAAACAAAAACATTCTTGAGTAATATTTACAATAAATTAAAAATCTTATCTAAATTATTTTTTACATTTATTCTCTTACGTTGTTAAGATTATTTTAATTTTTGCTTCTTCATTATTAATCTCATCATTTTTATTTAAGATGATAGTGTAATTCATTATAATAAAACAAAAAACAAATAAAATATATTTTTTAATTTGCTAAAGGAAAATAATTGAGAAAATGTCGTGGAATGAAAACAACATAAGCGAACAAACAAAAATGGAACATATACATCTTCCTCTACTGAAAACAACACAACACAACATGCATAACAGAAAATTTAAACACATTAACAAAACACACCACAATGATAATATTTTATTTTTTCTAGACTTTGCTAGTTCAAGTCAAATGTTTTGAAGAGATCATTAACATTGGCTATGCTGTATATCGAATCCATGGTCTGCCATGGTTCAGGTCTTTATCGTGGTATTTCCTTATCACTTCAAACTATTTCTTTTATGGAGAGAGCCTTGTGGACTACTTTGGCGTGGCCATAAACCGAACAGTAACGTCATATTTTTTAACATTTAACCCTAGGTTATATTTTTAAACTGAATTTTTTTTTCAGGATTTCTTGCGTGTTTTAGTTACTTACCACAGATTCATCTCGTTTTGTTTGTATATTGTTGGTTTTGTGTGGTTCGTCTTGTCATTAGTCAATAAGTACTACATGAAACAGTTTTCTCTATTTGCATGGACACATGTTTCACTTTTAATTGTGGTTACACAGAGTTATCTGATTATACAGAACATCTTTCAAGGTTTAATTTGGTAAGTTCTTTATTTCTAGCCTAAAAAAAAACCCAGATATTTTGAAACTTTTTTTTCTCAAAGGTTTATTGTTCCGGTGTCGATGATAGTGTGCAACGATGTTTGGGCTTATTTGTTTGGATTCTTTTTCGGGAGGACTCCACTGATCAAGCTATCTCCAAAAAAGACCTGGGAGGGCTTTATCGGTGGAGGAGTAGCCACAGTAATTTTTGGCTTGATTGTAAGTACTTTAATGTTAAAATGTATATAGATATACAATATATTTTCTTCCTTTCTAGGCTTCGTACATCCTCTGTCAGTATCAGTATTTCGTTTGCCCCATTGAATACTCGGAGTCATTGGGAAGGATGACTATGGAATGCGATCCTTCTCCGTTGTTCAGGCCGCAGCAGTACACTCTACCAGCATTTTTGGGACGGCTCACAGCAACAGTATGACGTTATTTATTAACTGTTCTCTTTTAAGTTTTTCTTTCTAACCTAAAATCCCTAATTAAATTAATTTGATTGTAGATGTTTTTATTTTCCCACTCTAAATGGAACCTACAAAAGGATCTTAAATAAATTCCATTATTTTAGTTGTGTAAATGCAAGATTGGGTAATTAAATTGATTAAATATTTACGTTTCTAAAATTCTTATACATTGAGCACATGGTTTTTCATCCATTTCCTGTACAAAATCAACGTGTAAATTACAACTTATTCACTTTCATAGTCTTGCAGTGTAAATAAATTACATCTAGTGACTAACAGTAATGACATAACAATCCATTGTGTCTATTATACTATTAAAATACTAACAAGAGTGACTCTGAAGTAGGATCACCGATTTTAATAAAAAAATTCTCCGTGATATTAGGTTGTAAAATATTAGACTATGTTTCCCTTGCTCATAAGGGTTAAGAGAAAAAAAATTATGTAATGAGTCAGAACCAGAGATATAAAATGATTGGAAAATTTGTCTTTTCCACAATAGGCCTATTGTGGAAATAATTTATTTCCTACATTTCCTACCCATTATCTTACTATGCAGTTCCACATAATCAAGAGGGACACCATCAAAAAATTCAGAGATATAAAATAAAACATTTGGGGAGTTTTTGTCGATTTCATATTTATTTATTTTTATAATGAAGTATATTCTAAATGTTATTCTCATAGGCTGAAAGTAGAATGATTCAGTTTTCCAATGATTTTGATAGCATGGAGACTGGATAAAATCCAGAGGAGTATTGGAATAACCAGGTACTGAAACAAAAAATTGCCCACAGCTGATCCAACCAAAAATGTCTTATTTTTTGTTTGATATAAAAATTTGTATTTAAGGATTTTTAAAACTAAAACTGGGAGGCGTCGGTGGCCACAACGGTTTAAGTGTAGACACGTCCACTTATTACTGTAGTCTTGGGTTTGAATCCAGCAGCCCTGTATTTGAACCTGATGTACTTACGAATGTTTTTTTTTTTCTTCAAAACATCAGCACCCCAAGGATTCATATAACCTTGTAGTTGAAATATTCACATAAAAAAAAAAAAAAATTCAAAAACAATTTCTTTTTTGGCCTAATTATTGGAAGTGTCTTGGTTTTTGTACTTTTCATACGTCTTATCTTATTTAATAAGGCTCTGCATATTATTTTATTATCTTAATTAAAATAACAAACCAAATGATATACAATAACCGCATTTAAAAATCATTATATAACTTATTTAAATTTTTTTCTCAGCTCCTAATTTGCAAGAATGCTCAGACATATGTCACATGGTGATCCTATATCCATAGTTTCCTCTTGTAAAGTCATCAACTTAGCAAGTAATTTTAACACTTCGCATGATTATAAAAAAAAGCACATTCATGTTTTTAAGTATATTCAATGAAATAGTTTTTATGTACTATGGTGATACATAAGAAAGCGCCTGACCTCCTGATTTTTAATTGAGAATAGTATGAAAACAGTAAACAGTAGTGAATTGGCTTAGCCCTCATTTGTGAAACCCAATTTGGAGGTAAAAACCATCTCATATGGCAGGAATTACTTTACTTATTTTTTATTGCTTATAATAATAAAAAAATGTATGTGCTTAATTTAAAATGTTCAATATTTCCAGTTTGGTCATGATGGTACGATTACGATGTATCCATTCTTACTTCACTCACTCTCCATGTCCATCTTCAGCTCTGTGATCGGCCCCTTTGGGGGATTTTTCGCCAGTGGATTCAAAAGAGCTTTTAAAATAAAGGTAACAGCATTGGCAAACAGCAAAGTTTAAAATTTTTATAAAAAAACACTTTTCATCAGGACTTCGGAGATGTGATTCCCGGACATGGTGGAATAATGGACAGATTCGATTGTCAATACCTCATGGCGACGTTTGTAAATGTCTACATTTCAAGTTTTATTCAGACATCATCACCACAGAAAATTCTCCAACAAGTGAGACTCTGTTAACATTTATTTATAATTATTATATATAATTATTATATTATTTTGTTCTTTTAGGTTTTAAACCTTAAACCTGAACAACAGCTTTCACTTTACTACATGTTGAAGGAAGCTCTGCAGAACCAGGGGATTCTGGGACAGCATTAAATCAAAAATTTTGTTTTTATATTCTCTTAGGTATTTTTTTTTTTTCTTTTAAAAAGTTGTATCATTCTTTTACCAAGGTTTGTTTTGTTTATTCTGGATAAATAAATCTATCCAATTTAGTTTATTCAAAGTCAGTTACCAAATCGCCAAATAATGTTCTGCCTTGCATGAAATGTGTACACTTGTGTTTACAGATCATTTTACAAAAATTCCAGTTTAAAAAAATTACAGTACCTGTCTTTTCCATTCCAAGTTTAACATTTACCAAATGATTGGTGATGAATTTTTCAAAATTTCGAATTTTTTATTGTATTTTTCTTTGTGTGTTTTTTTATGTCTGGCCTCCCTATTTTGAATTATTGTTAATCAAATGGAGTAGAATAAGATCAATCATCAAAAAAGAAGAATGGACAACAGGCTTAAAACCGAACAAATCGAGGAGTGCTACAACCAAAAATTCTCACTTTTACGCTATGAGTAAATAAATTTTGGAAAACTTATTGCTCAATTGTATCAACATTCTAAAGAAAAATTTAAATGTTTGATTATTAAACATCTTTAAAAATAAATTGCAGTGTAAAAAAACTTATGACTTTTATATAGTTGGCTATAATGGTGTGTAAGCACTCCTCTCGAAAATTAAAAAATTATATATATATATAAAAAAAAAAAGAGAATTTCCTCTGCCTGATTCCCATTTAGGCATATTATTGAAACGTCAGGTAGGGTTTATATGTGTCAAAGTAGTTAGATCCAAGACTGAAATTTAGGTAAAAAAGTCTTCTAATTGTCCAAAAGTCTATAAGATAAGCTCCAAAAGTTTTATTGTTCACACATGTGAATTATATTAGAATGTGATTGTTTAGCCTTCTTCTATTATTTTATATTGTTAATTTTCATTTTTATTTACAGTATTTTCCCAGTTTTATTTATTAATCTGATCCAAGTAGTATTAGCCAATTTGTTAAAGCGAATCGGTTTTTTGTATGTACCACACGCCATACGTCAAAGTGGACCCAGTTATGAATTGTTTTTGTTTTGTGTTTATATTATATATTATTTGTTGATTAAAATTAGCTTGACCAATTTTTTAATATAATGGAAAAAAATTATATTGTTATCAGTGTATGTTATAATAATGTTTTACGTAAGTAAGTAAGCTTGTATTTGTTAAAATTGTACTACTTATGTGTATGAGGTGACCTTTAAATAGATACTACTCCCAATGCACTCGGTGTTTTGATGTTTTACTGATGTATTGATCAGAGTCTGTTAGTGAAATATAAATTATATATATACGAGAAAAATTATAATTGTTTATTATTTAGGGTACGATGAAAAGTATGTTGAATTATTTATTATTATCAAGTGTTTTAGTGGTTACTGTTAGAAGGAAAGAAAACATTATATATAAAAATGAGGGAAAAGTGATAGTAGGGTAACACTGTGCAATATTGAGACACATTGTGAAGAAAATAAAATTTATTCCAGGGATGTTCGATTTTTTTCTTTTTCCTCTTTCAAAATTGCTTCAAATCTTTTCAGTATTTCATAATAAAATATCAGTAAAGTAACCTTAAAAATGTGAAAAAAAAAGGAATAAAATGAATAAAATTTTTGCCCTTGTCAGTAACAAACAAGCTTAAATTTGTACTAGCTTTCATAGGAAATGTTTTAAAACTGATTTCCATTATACAAGCCTTGGACAGCTTTCTTTTTGTCATAAAGTTTATGTTAATGTTTAACTTCACTAATTTCATGGCCTGCTTGACCAATTAATATATTACAATTAATTAAGGTTTTTAGTTGAGATAAAAAAGTCAATGGCACGAGCGGGATTCTAACCCACGATCTTCGGCTAGATACGCCGCTGCTCTACCACTTGAGCTATCGTGACCTCGATCCACTCGGACACCAACTTCCCATCTCAACCACACCTTTTGAAAAATGGCAAAAAAGGAGGGAAAATGCAAAAGGCCAACGAAATATGCATGAAAGGCCAGAAGAAGAAGGAAAACATGCAAAGTGACAGCAATTGAGCTCAGGTCGGCCCATAAACCTCCAAATTTATATACATATATTTTCTTTAATATTTCAATTATATTTGTTAGGCCTGAGTAAAATCTTAAATAGATCGAAAATTTGGCAAGAAGTCTATTGAGATTTCTTTTTGTAGTCTCCAGGGTGATGAACCTATAAATAAATTGAGAGTTATCTATAATTCAATTAATTGATCAAGTGGATCACGAAAACTAGTGAATTTATTGATAATCTTGGTCTGCCCGAAACTTTTTTTTTGGGTTTACGCTGGCATATTGCCCATGAAGTTTTCTTCTATTTTCATTTTACTGTCGAGCGTGATCGGCCGACCAGGGCCAGGTCCCCGCCGTGCGCCCGCACCACTCATTCAGCTCCATCATCTTCTAAATTTTCATGCTTGAAGATAATCAAAAAGAAACGTTTATGAACTTTAGAAATCCATAGATTGTGTTGAAAGCTGATGGGTTGTTGGTTATTAGGACAGATTCTAAGTTTATTGGTCTTGAAATATTTGGGACTTTGCTCAGAATTTTTAGCAGTTTGTCTCTTTCATTTTCATATTCTGGACATTCAAAAATTATGTGGGAAGGATTTGAAGGGCCCGAAACTTTAATTCATGGAAATAATCCACACAACACTGAGGGTGGTGAAATACAAAAAAAGTCTGATAGACAAAACCAATTAGATGATCTAACCATCAAATTATAGGCATACAAATTGTACATTACCACTTGCGTTACCTTAAGATCTTAAATATACCTCTGCCTAGGGTTAGTAGAATAGGACAAAACAAATCAAAAGACACACATACACAGAAACAGGCACACACAGAGAGCGGGAAATGAGATCGCTGACAAATGGCTAAGGCTGCTTCCCAAAATGAAGACTTGCCATTTGCATATTCAAAGGTCATATCTGCAGTTAAGAGAAGGCTGAATCGACGCAGCTTGGCTAGATGGGAAGAAATTTGGATAACTCTATCCAGGGATGACTGACCAGGGAGTTCTTTCCATCGGAATCATGCTGCTTACAGAAGTGCCACCTGTGAATGGCCTACAGGCTTACTCAAATCCTGACAGGACATGGAAAATTGGCGGAGTATCTTTTTCGCTTTAATATTATCCCTGACCCAGCTTGTTCGTGTCGAGTGCCACCTCAGAGTGTGGATTACCTTCTTCTGGAGCGTGTGGAGTGACGGCTGCCAGGCTTCCGTTGTTGCAGCACATGGTGACTAGGGGCTTATGTTGGCTGCCACCAACAAAGTCATGCTTTTTGGAGACCGAAGTGCTACCATATTTTATGAAGTGGTGTCAGAAATAATGGCATTCATGAATAATTAATACATAATTGTAAATAATATTGAAGAGTTTAAAAACAAAAATTAAGTTAATTTAATTGTGTTAATCATTATTAGGAGTTAATATAATATTGAGCAAAAAAAAAAAGTATCCTTAGTATTACTTTATTTTTATGTTGTAAATATGCTTTGTAATTTTTAATTATGTTATTGTTATTATGTTTAATTAATGTAATACCTACACGCGCGCGCGTTTAAAATGTTGGGTTTGTATGTAATGTAATACCTAATGTCGTGGGGCATGATGTTTAAACACACACACACACACACACACACACACACACACACACACACACACACACACACACACACACACACACACACACACACACACACNCTCACTCTCTCACTCACTCACTCACTCACTCACTCACTCACTCACTCACTCACTCACTCACTCACTCACTCACTCACTCACTCACTCACTCACTCACACACTCACTCACTCACTCACTCACTCACACACTCACTCACTCACTCGCGCGCGCGCGTTTAAAACGTTGGGTTTTTGGTTGGAATATAAATGAAATACCAAAAAAGTCTTACAGACAAAACCAATTAGATGATTAACCATCAAATTACAGACGTACATATTATAAATGACCACGTGTGTTAAGTATCCCTGTGCCTAGGGTTGCTAGCAGAGGACAAAACAAATCAAAAGACACACACTCACAAAAATCATTTATTTTCAGCCAATAATTGTAAAATGTTGGACTTTCGGTTGAAATATAACGGATCGTGGGTTGGTCTGTCAGTGAGTATAGGCAGTCTAAGATGATCGGTAAAAATCAAATTATAGGTTCAGCACCCTGCGTCCACTTGAGGAAATCTTACGAAGTGGAAGAAGTCAAATTGATAAATCATAACGTTTAATCACACACCTTCCTTAATAAATCAAAATTGAAGGTTTTATTCATTATGACCAGGAAAAAATGTACATGTACATGTATAATTCCAACCATTTCGTTATCATCCGATATTTAAGATTATGGACACAATCTCTAAAAGGACGTCTGGCAAATTGAACCCCTCTAATATGATCATAAACTGAATGAAAAACGGCTCAGAAGTCCGAATTAGTTAATATTTGAAGAGGCTTGTCAATTTATCAACGTTTATCGAAACGGCGAAATGCCATGGCCAGAGTGTCGTAGGATTAAACTCAATTAAACGTTTTAAAACACAAGGAACACATTTCCAATTTATGAACAACGTCTTTAATAGGGCAAGGCTGTGCGAAAACGATAACTTGTTTATTGTTCGCCGTTAAAAGCTCTATGTTTGGCGAAATGGGTCATAATTTGACGGAAGGATGACTCCTGGGCGAGTTACGACGAGTTACGATCCTCGTAAATCCACCCGTTTTACTGCTGTAAATAAATTCAAAAAATCCATGATTAATTACGACACCAATAAAATAGAATGTCAACACAAAAGATTAACATCTCGTCCCCGGGGGGGCTGAAATGTTAAAGAGGTCCAATTCTTGGAAATCCACGGGGAAAAAGTAACTGGGCCGTTTTACGTCTTCCATGCCGATGACACGATAAATCACCCTTTAAATAGCGTCCGATATTTAATGTAGGGATATAAATCTAAGAGGCTTGATATTTCAAGTATACACATTTTGAAAGGATAGCAATGAACCTTTTTTAGAATACGCCATTTCCATTTTGGAGTATATTTTAGAAAAATTAGATCTAGAAGTATTTCATCTCCGTCATTATTACAACATCAAAAAAAAAGTGATTTATATATATAAATGATATTTAGACAAAGCTTATATAAGAATAATGTTCTCTTGGAAACAAATAACTAAGAAATACTAAATCTAAACAGATTTTCTTGTGCCTTGGTGTTCTAGTCAACCATGTACATTTTTACAGCACAGCGTTCAGTTAAATAATTATTATTACTTCTATGATTTTTTCTTCCTTCACTGGTGATCAAAATCTCCCTTTCTTCCTGTGGTTTGCAGGGTGATGAACCTATCGATTGACAATTACCTACCATCTTGGTCTGCCATCATCGCTGATTTTTGTTAGTTCAGTGCCACTTTCAGTCTCAGTCACTTCACAAAATGCAGGAAGGAACTGGAGTTGTAGACAGAAAACCCTGCTTTGGATGTACACCATAATAGACCCATACTTACATACGGAGTTGTAGCCTGGGCCGATAAAGCAGAACAAGAAAAGAAAAGAACTCACAAAATACAGAGACTTGCATGCATTTGTATAACGGGAGCAATGAGAACATGTCCGACAATTAGCATGGAAAAAGTATTGGGATTAATACTACACCACATGGAAACGAGGACAGCACAGAAAACCATCATTAGTATTATCAAAGAGAAACCTCCAACAGGAATACAACTAAAATGAAGAGATAGCAACAAAATAATGAAAGACCATCCGATACTCATGGCTCCAAGAGACTACATGATCAGGATGTTTGAATTTAATCAAAACTTCCAAATAAATCTAGGTACCAAAAAATAATGGGAACGAGAGGGAAACACGTCCTTTAAGAATGGCCCCATCCTTTGGTACACGAAGAAGGTAAAGGTCCTGGAACCAAATACTCAGAACCCATGGGAAAATACACCAGTATCTTCCAAGCTGAGATTCACGCAATCGAGAGATGTACTCAACTCAACCCGAATAAAGGGTACAAAAACAAGAACATAGCTACCTTGTCAGATAGCCAAGCAGCCATCAAAGCACTAAGCTCAAATATCATTAGGTCAAGGATGGTGCTGAACTGCAAAACCAAATTAAACATATTATGTACGCAGAACAAGGTCAGCCTCTGCTGGGTCCCAGGACACATGGGAGTAAAGGGCAACGAGAAAGCGGACACCGCTGACAGGATCTGAACCCTTCTGTGGCATAGGAACCCACACTATTAATGAGTATCTCAGACAGAAGGAAACAAATTTCGGAAGAAAAGGAATTACAGAATGTGTCAAAGGAAACAGGAACAAACTGCGAATCCTAATAAGATTCTTAACAGGACACTGTAAGCTAAACGGACACTTAAAGAAGATTGGGATGATCCAATCTGCAGTATCTCCTGCAAAGAGGCAGAGGAGATA